AGGGTTCCGAATGTGGCATCTCCTTCGATGGTTTCACTGATTTCCAGATAGGAGATCAAATACAGTGCTACGACGAAGTGAAAGAGAAGCGAAGCTTGTAAGATATTGGAAAACTCAACACTTGTACAAGACAAAAGGAACTGCATAGAAACGAAAAGGTAGAGGGCACACACACTGTCATCCACACAGCTCAACACTATTTCACTGTAGAAAACTAGTCATTAATGGTCATTGCACCAATCACCACGTAACCAATTCTCAGTGCTTCAAGGTGAATTTTGTTTGGTCCTCATTACCACCGCTTGGGCGCGGAAACTATGTTGGACGAGAATGACTTGCTGGTCACAGTCGACTGGGAGCGCTCCTTTTCGAGCTTGGTCAAGCCAATTTTGTCAGTGACTGGTGTTGCATTGATGATATTGTCAAAGTCATCATCATCTTCGCCATTATCCGAGTCTGGTTCGATGTCTGAGTTGGCCTTCAGCGTTTGCGGCCGAGGAATCGATTCAGGCTTCTTCTTTTCCGACGCTGAGGGGTTAGCGAAAGTCTTTGACGCCAGCACCTTGCGACGGATCTCTTCCATTGCCGCGTCTTCGTCGCTATCGTCGGATATCGCATATGGATCTCTTTCTTCTTCCTCGCTTTCTTGCGTCTTCTCAGGCTTCTTTCCGAGGTAAATGCCGTCAACGCTGTCACCGTCTCCTGATTCGTCTCCACTTTCATCTCCATCGTCGTCGTCGTCGCCTTCTTCTTCGTCATCGGAATTGGGTATCACTCTGCGATTTGTGTTTCCGCCCTTCCACATGTCATCGGCGTCGCCCGCCTCCCTGCTCTCTGCATATTCCTTGTCCAGCCGATCCATCCACTCGTCCTGCACCTTCTTGACACCCTTCTCGTCCTCGCTCGCAGCATACTTCTTCAGTAGGCTTCCATTGATCTCCAGGAAAGCTTCACCATACGAAAACGGCGCAAGGACCTGCTCCGCCCACTCGGGATGACCGCAGATATAGAACGCCGCTGCGAGGGCCTCAACGCAGTTCAACCGCCACGGCTTGCCGTAGTTGACGGTGTTAGCCGCAACGAGATACGGCAGCAGACGCTCACACTTTCCGCCAACCTTGCCCCACTGGATCTCTTGCATACGCGCCCAACTACACTCGACAACGGCAGCGCCGTACTGCTCCATGAGGTCGCGATCTGCGGGTGAGACCGTATGCTTGCCGTTGGGTGTGATAATGACGCCGTTGTGTTTCTGGCCGACATGTAAGTCGCGCATCATTCCCATACGGATCAGCTTCTTTCCGGAGCATCGTTTGGGATCGCAATGGCCGAGATCCCAGCAGGCGGCTTTAAACGTTGGACGGGAGGAGGGATGGCCATCTTCATCATCGTCGCCGGCCCGAGGTTGTCGAGGGCGCGGAGGGCCCGAGTGGTGGTTCTTGCGACCGCGGGAGCTGAAGTTGTCTTTCTTGTGCCGGACCATGTTTGGAGTGCTCGTGGGTTGTGAGGTCGTGGCAGGGACGCTTTCTAAAAGACCTAAGCCCTTCCAAAGATGCCCGGTTTGGCGGGGTAGTGGGGGGGCAAAAGGGCGATAAGACGAAAAATTCGATAAAGAGCTCTTATGCAACTATACGCAGCTAACCCCAAATAAGGCAAGGAAGTCCACCATGAAGCACAGGCCACTCGTTGGAGTCGAGGTGGCTCCAGTCCAGTGGCCTCCCGCGGCGGCTGTCACCGTACGTAAGGTACACTAGCCCCTCGTCATTCGGCCACAGTCTACAGATACCTACCCAAGGGCTCAAGAGGGATGCCTGCGCCGACCTAATTCAATCTGTCCAATTCCTAGGCGTTTGCTCGGCCAGCTCTTGAACTTCAACGGCTACCCGTCTGTAATGCCTTTCGCGCCCTAGCCTTTGACGAGGACGACGACGAAAACGAGAAATCCCTCCCGCCAAGATAGCTCCCTTACCACCACGTTCAAGGCCGCACCCGAATACCAATACCGTCACGATGGAGGCCGCATCAGCTCGTGCTGCGGCCCGCGACCGCTGGGGCGAGATGGGCAGTCCGACGCCATCGCAGCTGCAGCGCTTCATTCAGGCCGCTTGCAGCCCAGAGAACTATGAGCCGAACCTCGCCTTGAACCTGGAGATTTCCGATCTGATCAACTCCAAGAAGGGCTCCGCCCCGCGCGAGGCCGCCGTCGCCATAGTCAGCTACATCAACCACCGCAACCCCAACGTGGCCCTTCTGGCTCTCAACTTGCTTGACATCTGTGTTAAGAATTGTGGCTATCCCTTTCACTTGCAGATTAGCACCAAGGAGTTCCTCAATGAGCTGGTCAGAAGGTTCCCCGAGCGACCGCCGATACGGGCGACGAGAGTGCAGATGAAGATCCTGGAGGCCATCGAGGAGTGGAGGAGTACGATATGCGAAACAAGCAGGTACAAAGAAGACTTGGGTTTCATTAGGGACATGCATCGTCTTTTGAGTTACAAGGGTTACACCTTTCCCGAAGTCAGGCGGGACGACGCGGCGGTGTTGAATCCTAGCGACGTGAGTGTCTCCCCGCTGCGCGAGATATTGCATCGCATGCTGATCAACGCAGAACCTGAAATCAGCTGAAGAGATGGAGGAAGAGGAGCGCGAAGCGCAATCCGCCAAGCTGCAGGAGCTGATCCGTAGAGGCACCCCGGAGGACTTGCAGGAGGCCAACCGGCTGATGAAGATCATGGCTGGCTACGATACTCGTTCCAAGACTGACTACCGCGCTAAGGCTGCTCAGGAGGTCGCGAAGATTCAGGCCAAGGCACGTCTGCTGGAGGAGAGACTTGAAGCTTTCCAACAGGGCGACACGATGCAGGATGGAGACGTGTTCTCTGAGCTCGCTGCAGCTTTGCAGAGTGCGCAGCCCAAGATTCAAAAGATGTGTGAAGAAGAGTCGGATGATCACGAAGCCGTCGCAAAACTCCTCGAGATCAACGACAGTATACACCGGACCGTCGAGCGGTACAAGCTCATGAAGAAGGGCGACTTGGAGGCGGCGAAGAAGGTGGCCAGCGGCGCACCACTACCCACCACTTCAGGCTCTTCCAAGAGCGCAACGCAAGAGCTGTCCTTGATCGACTTTGACGGAGAGGCGGACGCTGCCAATGGCTCATCTTCCGCACAGCCCACGTCGCAGTCAACTGGTATCGAGAACGACCTCCTCGGGTTGTCTATGGGCGACTCAGCGAGTTATGGTCAAGGAGGCGCTCTAACACTCGGCTTCGGGGCGAATTCCAGTAAGTTTCCACTCACAAGATACGAGCTCTTACTGACAGAACCAGATGTCCCTGGGCCCGCATTACTGTCCAGTATGACGGAGGCTAATTCCGCAAAAGGACCCATGAGTAATTCAACGACACCCCAGCCGCCAGCCTTCTCCCAGTTTGCTTCTTTTACGTCCCCCACCGCGTCCCAGTCTGGCACGCCCCAGCCGCCTGTAATGTCTGCTTTCAAGCCGCCACAGCAAGCCGCGGCCACGTCTGATCCCTTCGCTGCCCTTGGATCTCCTTCGTTTCCCTCCAAACCCTCTACCCCTGCTCCAGCACATCAGCCCGCGCCGGCTGCGCCGGCCGCAAACGACGACGACGAATGGGCTTTCTCGTCTGCACTCCCTCCCGACCAGCCTAGCCTTCCCAAGGAGCACAGAGCCACCATCAGCGACTCTACCGTAAAGATTGAGATGATGGCTGGAAGAGTTGGGCCTGGCAACTCCCTCAACTTTAGCTTTGCCTTTTCCAACAGCTCTGCGCAGCCAGTGACCGAGCTTCACTTCCAACTCGCGGCGACAAGGGTGTGTAGCTGTCACGATCATTCTTCTCGCACACACTGACATACCACAGGGATACGAACTGCAACTTAAGCCCCAAACCGGGCGTGCACTAGAACCTAAACAGAGCAGAGGCGTGACGCAAGCTGCGGAGGTATGGCATGCTGGTGATAAGAATCGTAAAGTGCAGTCCATCAAGCTGCGGTGGAGGGTGTCGTACAAAGTAGGCGCGGAGCAAAAGAACGAAATGGGCGAGATCCAGGAGTTTAGTATCGCATGATGGGGCCATGGGTGTTGAGCTGCTTCAGAAACGACGAATTTTATGTTATTGGAGGTGAGCTGTGAACAAGAGGTATAGAATTTAGGGTATTCGAAGATACTAAGGGGAAGGCAGTCAGTCTCTCCGTCAGATGCTCCTCTGTCGTGGTACGGCTTCTTCTTTTCCTCCCCCAGGCAGAAAAACACTGAAAGCCAGTAATGTGAGAGGGTGAATGGTAAGGTGAATGCCAAAGCTGCCGTAGGGGCGTCGCGTGGTTGAGCTCGGGGGGGAGGAGGGCTCTGGGCCGACCCCTTATCTATAACTTCCCCGGAATGGATTGTCGAAAGTGAAACTTGGGCGAGTGGTAGGTTATTAGCCGTCTTAACTGATGGGAGTGAACACCAACCGCAGACCCTTGGGTTCGCGCCTCGGCTGAAGCGACCCTGTGCAGTTCTGAGCGTTGTTAACTTAACGAGAGCTGTTACGCGAAGGGGCCAGATGGATGCTGAGGTAAGTTTTTGTACTTTTCTCTATTGGCAAAATTCGATTCTACGTTTATTTTGAGGTTTTCAATACATTTTTGATGCGGGTTGATTGGGAAGGAGGTTCCTGCCTTCTGCTTCTGACGAAGGCTGGAGGCGGTGGTTTTGGTGATGCTTTCGGTGAAGCCAGGTGAAGGACCGGGCCGAGTGGGTACTGCATGGTCTGTGCAGTGGTCCGGAGGGCGGGTGTGGGGCAACGTGCCAGGCAATACACGGTGCCGTGGATGCAGTACGATGACTTCAGCTCAGAGCATCAGATGATTTCCATGCGCATGATTTTCTTCCTCAAATTTCAGCAACCTTTAACTCCCCGCCGCATAAAACAACAGCCCGTCCTTTCGTTTTCTTCCCTACCAGACGGGTCGCAAGGTCATACAACACGGCGATGGGTCTCGACGACGACCACCGCAGCCACAGATCGCGGCGCACGCGCGACGAGGACGAGGAGGAGCGGCCACGCAGAGACACAAAAGACAGAGACGGCCACCGGCGCAGACGCAGCAGAGAAAGGCGGAGGTCACGATCACGAGACAAACGCGAGAGGCGGCGTTCACGCACACCAGACCCTTCGGCACGCAAACGATCCTGCTCACGAGACCGCGACCGCGACCGCGACCGAGAAAGGCGCAGAGAGCGATCCCCACGAGACGACGACCGAAGGAGCAGCGGGAAGGAACTGAAACGTCGACGCCGCGACGATGGATCGGAAGCAGACGACTCCACACGAACGCGCGCCAGTCCCTTCCGTCGCGCGGGGCCGCTCCCTTCGCAAGACGACTCCTTTGCCGTGTCCAAGGGCGAGGAGCCCGAGAAGCCAAAGGATAAGCCAAACCTGCGCACGACTGGCGTTCTGGCCGCGGCGTCAAACTCGGTGCAACAGGCGGATGGAACGTCGATTGTTCTCAAATACCACGAGCCCGCAGAGGCGCGCAAGCCGCCGGTGAAGGACCAGTGGAAGCTTTTTGTCTTCAAGGGGAACGACATTGTTGACACAATTGACTTGAACCTGCGCAGCTGCTGGCTTATTGGGCGCGAGGCGGCGGTTGTAGATATGATGGCGGAACATCCAAGCATTAGCAAGCAGCATGCTGTTATCCAATTCCGACATGTCGAGAAGCGCAACGAGTTTGGAGACCGTATCGGAAAGGTCAAGCCCTACCTGATTGACCTCGAAAGCGCCAACGGAACGGTTCTCAACGGAGATAAGGTGGCTGACAGTCGGTACTATGAGCTTAGGGACAAGGACATGATAAAGCTGGGGCACAGTACGCGAGAATACGTCCTCATGTTGGCACCCAAAAACTAAGGGGCTTGGGCAAGCTAAGATGGAGGACGGTATTTGGCGCCATGGAAAGGCCAACAGGAACGTGAGACTCGATGGAGAGTCTGAAAGTGAACGGAGGTTGGAGCGTCGAGTATGAGAAGATCGCATTAGAATAGGCCGAGCGCAAGATTTTGTGTGGATCGTAGGCCTTGCAAGCCACTCAGGGGGCTTTTGGGAAGAGTAATTTGCCATGACATCGCACATTGGTCACATGGGCATCATTAGGGGTTAGAAAGTCATGGAATAAACATTGAAATAGGCCACCTTCGTATTGAGGGTTGTCCTTGCTGTCTCTCAAATTGTTGGACAGCCAACCACACGTTCTGCGAAAAGGACTCTAGAAAAAGTAACTAAAGGAAACTCCACGTATTTTGTTGTATCAGTACCTATCTTATGCGAATGCAATAAAAAAAAACAATATGGCGCCGAATACCGAGCTTCAAGCCTCTGGCAAGGCCATCTCTAAATCATCAAGTCAATGTGTTGAGATCAACTTTTCCAGCATCCGTATGGCGCTCCATCAAAGAATACCCAGTCCCACAGGCACCGGTTCAGAACCTGCACTCTCATGGCCGGCTCGTACGGCGCGCGCATCGTCTACCGCCTCTATAGCGGCTCGATCCACTCGATCCAGCCTATCTCGAGCTTCCCTCGCTCTGCGGCCGGCGGCTTCGAGATCGACAGGTACTTCACCGAAGGCAATAACCCTACCATCGTCAACTCGAATACCACCTGATCCTGACCGACTCATGCTCTCGCCATCGGCTCCGATCTGCGGGCTAGCCCTGGGACTCGAAAAATCTGGACTGTCTTGTTGCGAACGGAAACTTGGCATTTGCGCAGTGGGCAGATATCGATGAGCAGGCACATTGCTACCACCAAAGAGCGAATCGCCTCGACGATGGGTTCTTCTACGTTCCCAGGCGTGGTACGAGGTAGGTGGCATATCAATCGGCTGAAGACGCGGCGAGGGCTCTGTCTCGACGACAGAGGGGGCACGTGGGCGACTCAGACTTGTCCTGGCGCCACCGCTATTGCTACTTCGAGGAGTGCCTGATGATTCTGTCAAGCCGACAACATGCGGGTTTGAGCTCGGGTTCCGAGACATTGGCTGTGATGTGTATCCTCCTGGTGGTCTTGCGAAGGTGGGACTCAGAGGATTCATTGTTGCAGGCGACGAAACATTAACAGCCGGGTGACCGAGACTCGCGTCTGACCACGACAGGGGCTCATCATAGTCCGCTTCTGGGTAGTACGACTCAGTTGGTTGTTGGGATGCGTATTGCCGTTCTGGAGCTGTTTGCCACAGGCTACTTGAGCTGTTCGTAACGATCTGTAAGCCTGGAGGATGAAACGGTGGAAACTGTGCTCCAGGACTGGAACTGGCCGTCCTGACACCTCCTTGATATGTGGTTGGGGGATGCTCCGCTGATGTCGATGGTTGTGACTTGAGAGTCTCTTTGGATCGCTTGGACCTCGCTTTCCCCTCGTCTTCTGCTTTTGGTTCACCAGGAGACCCTCTGAGTCGTTGCAGAATGGAAGACACAAAGTTGTGTGACGGCGATGGGGTCTTATGAACGACTGTCTCTTGTGAGATAGACGATGGTCGGTTGCCTATCGGGCTGTTTCCGATACTAGTCCGAAGTTGATTTTCCTTCATTCTTCCGGAACGGGCCTGTGCAGGCAGCTCGACAGTCCGCAAGCTGTTGACCGACATAGTGTCGTAATTCACCCTTCGATCCAGAGTCCCCGCCCTGGATGGAGGACATGAGAAGGTAGGGGATGGCGGCAATTTGTCCTCAACTGCTGTCCCAGAGAGTGCCTGGGCGTAGCTTGTCCTCCCCAGCACTGGCCACGGTTTTGTGCCATTGCCAGTGCTGGAGCTTCGCCCTTTGTCATGGATGTGGCCTCCACCACGGGGTGGAGGAGGCGATGCCTGTTTAATGTGCATAAGCTCAAGTTCGGCGTCACTTCTAGCGGAGATACGGGAATGACTTGGTGAACGGCCGCCTCTGACAGAACCTGGCGGAGATATAAGGCCACGTGCAGACTCTCGGCTAACACTAGTACGAGGATCTTTCACAGAGGTTTCTCTCCATGCACCTCCGCGGTCGTGGTATCGTCGCTGTTCCTGCTTCTTCACGGATCGATGCTTCCTAACGACTGTCCATTCAGGGTCGGCCGGATCGTCAAAAGACGCGTCAACTGTGTCTGGCGGGTATGGGACAACTGTTCGACTGTCGGAAAAGTGGTCGTCGTACCGGATCCCTGGACTGTAGGCCGGCGGCCGCGGTGTAGAATATGCGTCGTCGCTACCTGCTTGAGGCATGTACGGCATGGTCGCATCTGGATCGCGACCGTCAGAGGCGTTCGACGTATTCGTGGATTCCGAAGATAGACTGTTCGTACGCTCAAAGACTGAACAGTGATCTAGGACCTCCTTGCCGTCGACGATGCCAGCCGAAATCGCCCTCTGTAAGCCATCTATCTCTTTCGGTAGCTTCGAGAGCTTGCTCTTCAGATTCTGTCTGAGTGATGATAGCTCTGCAGCGACGTCTTTGGAAACGTCTTTAGATTTGTAGTGCCGATCCAAGTGCTCCATCAGCTTCCTCCCGTGTATAGCGTATCTTCTGTAGTCGTCAGGCAAACCAGTCGTTGGGTCCTTCTTCATCCGATCATCGGCTGCCTCAAAAGAGAGGCAGAAGATGCGGGCTGCTCGAGCAAGCCAGAATTCCAACTGCTTCTCTTCCGCAAGGAGCTGGATGAAAAACGCTTGGACGACGCTGTGGATTCGGAGGACATCTAGTGGCTCTGCCGCCGGATCGCCGCTGCGTTCAGAGGTTCGCGAGCTTGAAGACGGTATATCATCCATTTCGCTTCTCTCAATGAGTGCAAACCTGATGAGTGTGATGAAGGTCTTGTTCAAGCTGCGGGGCTTGCCGTTCGCATCTGTTCTGATTGGGGTGGCCCTGTCCAAAGCTTTCAGGCCGAGCGCGAGCATTTCTACCGGGACCAACTGGCTGAAGAAGCAGAGGATGTACATCAGATTCAGTGCGGATGTGTCTCCAAGAGTTTGAAGCTGATCTCGTATCGTCTTGTACGCAGGCAGCATGCCGGGTCTGGGCTTGTCGCGGAAGGACTTGAGATACTTTGCAAGTGGTTCCCGAGTCGCATTCATCTGCTGGGCGGCAGCATGGATCATCAAGGGAAGGCGATCCATCAGCTGTACCAACTCTAAGGCACGTCTCAGGTCGTCGGATGTGTATGGCTGCCTCTTGCCCATCTCCTGGAGCAAGAGATCTCGAGCGGCTTGAGCCGGAAGGAGGCCAAGCTCCATGATGCTTGGGTTGTCCAGGAGATAGTTGCCTGGATCAGGCCGTTCCGTCGACGTCAGGATGAGGCTGGTGTTTTTACAGTCAGGAATAAAGTTGGTCACTTTGTCGTTGTCGAAGCGAATGCCGTCGAGGACTAGCAGCCAGCCGTTGAACTCGTTGAACCAATTTCGTACAATCTTCACCATCTTCTGGGGATCGGATAGGTCGTCTTTCTTCTCTTGGCCGACCCTCTGCCTGATAGCTTCAGTTTTAGCAATCCGCCAGAAGCCTTCTTCCATGTCCTGCACCGTGGTCGATCTGATCCAATATATACCGCCGGGATAGTCGTCCTTGTGATCGAATACGTATTGCCGTGCCAGGTGTGACTTTCCTGCTCCGGGAATTCCTTGGATCAAAACAGCTGACGTGCCTTCTGATCTTCGTCTTGTGTCCATCAGCATCCGATGAAGATCTCTATGCTCCTCCTCACGTCCCTTGAAAAACGCGTTGGGACGAAAACGGTCAGGGTGGATGAAAGGCGGCCATGAAGACCGTAAATCGGGCTGAGATTCCTCCTGGGAGGGGAAGGCCGTGGTGCTGGGCGTATCCGAGGGCGAGATCAGTGGTGTCGAGTACGTTTCGCTCTGTCTCATGGATTAGCCATTAACTGCTATTCTAGGGCGGCAAAGCACTCACATATTCCCTCGTCCTCTCGGCAGCTTCTGTTTGAGCTCGCACCCTTTTGTCATCTTGCTCGACGATCCACCGAGTCTGGATGACTGATGGAGATTCCCTCACCCAGTCACGAATGGCAGTCGAGACGTTGCGGTAGCCGGGTGCATGTTGGTCGGGAAATTTGCACATGCCAGAGTGGGTGGCCTCGATGCCGTAGTATGTAACCCCCGGCAGCTGTGGTCCAGCCGAGCGTGCGTCGACAACTAACATCCTAGGGAAGAGTAAGAGTCTGCTTTCCACCAAAGACTTAAATGGGGTGACTCACTTTGTGCCTTTGACATCAGTCTTGTGGTTTTCGTGGACCATGTGGATCTTGAACCGTTGATATATGTCGAGAAAGTGGATGTTGATATTTTGCAAGGTTTCATTGTCCTTTTTCAGAGTCTTAAGAAGTACGGATTCACTGTCGAAGAGCTTCCGAGGGATGATGGCGTCGGACATGTTCTGGATCATCTGGCCCCATTTCGCCATATCAGAGCCCCCATGAGGGGTGCCGAGGAAGACGATTCCGTAGGTAGAGACGAATATGGCTCTATAGTCCTCATGATTTCTGTCCTTGACGTCGTTGGAGTATAACAGGCAACGTTTGACGAGGAGACCGCCCAGACTATGTGCCACCCAGATGATGGCATTATTAGAACTACCCTCGCTCTTGCGGTAGAGGGTCAGGGTGGTGACGAGGCTTTGAGCATGTTGATAAATGAAGTTGTCACTGGCGCTGTGGTCGTTCTTGGTTGAGTATACGTCAGCGTTATAGCCATATACTAGGATATTGGCCTGAAGGCCTCTAAGTGACGTTGGGAGAAGATCTGCAGGCCAAAAAATGCTGTGGTTATGGTCGTCCTTGGCCGTCCACGTATTCTTTGGGTCGCCGTTCAGACCGTGGACCAAAACGACATCGACATTGGCTTCAGGATGCGTGTAGACGGCAGTGATCTCGAAGCGTGAAACGGTCTTCTGAATAGACCCCTGTGAAAGTGTATTAGGAAAGGGGGGTGGAAAACAGGTGCTCAGCCGCTCGATCGTAGAGGCAACTTACCATGCTTGCCTGCTCGGGCCCAGCAGCAGGGGAGTCGACTTCCGCTGTATGCGCTACTGCAGCTTATTTGACGTCTATTCCGGTTGGCTTCTGCCGAGTATTTGGTAATGGACCATTCGACATCGACGGCTGAGGGGGGACCTTGCATGAACGTCGTCTTTATACGATCAGGGGCTCTCGCCCCAACCACTAAGCGTACCAAGCCTACAATACCTCACGGGAGGACGGGAACCAAGGCGAGGCGCGATGATGCGCGTCAGGCGGAGCCAATGATGCTCGCTGCCTGGTCTGCCTGTCTTGAAGCTCTATCGGGCCCCAGGCACTCTGGCGTCGTCGTCTTCCCTCGTGTCGTCCGTCCTCGTCCTCGTCCCCGTCTTTGCCGTGTCCTCAGAGGTGTCCTCAGACACAGCAAGCAAGCTCAGGCGTGCGATGCTCAGGAAGGGGGGTGTAACACGCCGGGCGATCTGGTGACACAAGCATTGAATACCTTCCTAAATACAGGAGGGCGTGAGGTGCGTAAAAGAGAGAACAACGAATAAGAGCAGGATGTTTTGCTGGGTCGTGGTACGCACTTGCAACAGAAAGCAGATGAGGCGCTGTTACATTGTTAGTGGAGGGGAGTGGCCACTTGCTCTGGCACTTGCGTCTGATGCGCCGCGCAGGTGCGCCCTTGCCGCACGCTACTGGCTTAAGGTAATCTAAGTGCCTAAGGGAAGGGAGCACGGGAGGTAAGGTGTTTCCCCGTAGTGGCCCCCGCCTGCCCCCCAAGTGCTGCTGTGCGTCGCGCGCCACAGATTTTCATCAACCCTGCCCATGCAGCATCGTCCGTCCTCCCTCATTGGGCAACGTTGCGCGCAGCCTCTGGAGTCCTCCTTCAGCCTGGCTTGATTCATTCTTTCGTCACCTCCTCTGTTCAGAACGGAGCTGAAGCTCGTGATGAGGAAATGGAACATGCAGAGACGGCGCCAAAAGAAGAGCACGACACTAGCGCACTTGCCGTTCCGAAACATCAAACGGCGCCACCGATCTTGTCTTGCTTTTCCTGTCTTGCATTCTTTTTAGGTTCTGACCAGTGACTCTGTTCACCCGCCATGATCCTCGCTTCGTTTACACTGTTTTGCCCAGCCGAGGCACCTGTCTACAGCCAGTTGACTTGCGGGCGCATTTGACTTGGTCGAGACGAGATGACAGCTCAAATCATCAGATCAGACGAACACGAGCGGAAGCATCAATCAGCCAGTCAGACATCGTCGTCCGAACCGGCGCGTAGAGTGTCAAAATCGAAAAACCAATACGAAGAGGCTCTGCCGTAAATCGATTGCCCAGCAAGAGCACCGCCTTGTTGCTTCGGTGAATATTCACGGTCGCAAGACCGATGACGTAACCAAATGTCACAGAACAACGCCTTTTTTATTAATGTTTTTGTTTCTGGCGCCCAGGGCGAGGGCAACTAGTTGACTCACGGTAGGAAATCGACAGAGTTTGTGGGAAGCCTCACTTGGGGCAAAATCGCTGGCATGTTCTCTTCTCCAAGCCCGAGTTGAGGGCGTGAGGTTTTTCAATGTTCAGACGACTGATCGGTGCACAATCCCGAAGCCTCATTCTTGGAAGAAGGTCTTCGCCCAACACAAGGCGATGTTTCTCTGCAAGTCCATTGATCATCACCGTACGACATGAAGCGCGGAGGAGGCGCATGCAACACCACCTCCCCCCCACCCCCCTCCGGCACAGGCGGGGAATCCCGGCAGCTGCGACCCTGGCGTGCACTAAGGCAGGTTGAAGATCAACTTGAGTGTCTCGATGTGCCAATATGTAGGACAGAAAAAGCCTCCTTTGACAGCCCGACGACATCTCTAGGCCTCGCCTTCGCTTTCTCTATCGAGTGAGCCGGACATAAACTCCTTCCCTCGCGAGGCTCTTCCGAAGTCGCGGCGACGGAGACGCCAGCTGACCTCGATGTGTGGGTCCGATATCTTGCTATGAGTCCGTCACGCCGTCTTGACTCAGACCAGCGCCTACAAACCTTCAACGGTCACCAGAGAGCATGCGCGCTGCCTCTGGCAACATCGGAGGCTGAGACCTTTCAAACGCCTTTCGGGAGCTTTCCTGCAAAGTTGGGCAAACTAGCCGGAGGATAGCCTTGTACTCCTGTAATCCTCATCACTGGCGCCCAATTAGTCGTCAGTGCTGGGATTTCGCCCGCCAGCATGTCTTTACTTATTCCTCGCTATCCCGGTATAGCACTATTAACGGCGTGCTGGCAGTTATGATTGGCGGTTGCGGCCTCTCCCCAAATGTGTCACACAGTATTGCTGCTCTGACTTACAAGTTGTCTGTCAGAGCTTTTCCGGAAAAAAGCCATGAGGATACAGAGTCACATTTCTTCGGCAACAGAGAGATACATTGGTTACCTTCAGCGTCTGCCATTCTAATGCCCAACACAAGACCGAGAGGCAGTCTCGCCGTACACGAAGTTGTAGCGTATTCAAGCCTGGCCGAAAAGGTTGTCTGGCATCACCCCCTTCCTCCATCTTTTCTTATAACGTCTCTGTGGATCCCCCTAGCATGTAAAGCATATTGCCGACGAGTAAGCCGAAGTAATCGAGTGAACGCCAAGTGAACGCCATGGAGAGGCAGAAGCTGACGGCATACGTCTCACAAAAGAACGGCAGAGTTTTAACTTATAGAACTGCCAAAGTCGGAAAATATCATCCAGTCAGCAGTCTTTAGTCTCAAGTCACGTTGCAGGTGTGCAACCGCACACACCGACCGGCCGGGCGAGTCACCCCCGGCCGAAGCTTGCCGATGTTGCCCTTCCCTCTGCGGGAAATATGTCATGTTGTGGCAAGTGACATTCGCAGAGTTTGACATGGGAAGACTTTCTCGGTACATGCAGCAGGATTCGAGTATTCTACTGTCTCTACTCAATCTTTCATGATGCTGATGTTCATGTAACGTCGTGTTTATGTGTAGGATTACAAATGATAAAACCTTTTCATTTGTATTTATTACTCAGGGGGGACACCGCGCGATACTTGCATTTTAGCCTAGACAACGAATGGTTCTTGGCCCAACAGTCCGATAACCCCTCCAGACCCCTCCTTCAGTAGCAGATCTACCAGAGAACGAAAATCCATGAAAATGCTGCAAACATGGCGATTGGGATACCGACCATGTTCTTGTCACCAGCGGATGGGATGGGTGGCGCCAATTTCCAGCCAACTGCCTTCCACTGCTCCCGGCTAAAAACGGCCCAGTGAACGTCAATTCCCGGACTTACATACTTGTTCACAACACAATGCGTGAGCCCGTTACCACTGCTGCGGCCATCGATCTCGAACTCGTCTGCCACTCGACTCGCAATCTGCCAAATGTCCTTATTGCCAATGTACCAGCCATACTGCCATGTGTGGACATCCTCGGTCCACGCAGGACGGACACCAAACATACAACTTCCGTAAGTAAGAACGGGAAAGATAGTGTGATTATCGCCGTAGCCGTAGACGGTTGTATAGTGTTTATCGCGTCGAATCTTTTCAGCAAGCTGACGGCAGTCTGATACTAGGGGCGATGTGGCGGTGGTACTGCTCGTGTAGGAGGATGCGCCACAGAGACTGGCCGACAGTCTTTCGCTGGTATTCATATAAATCCCGTCGATGTCCGGGTCGTTTGACTCGGTTTCGCTGAGTGTGACTGGAAGGGGAGCTTTGCTGGGTCTAAGGTCCTGATGGGTCGTGTTCGAGCTGTTTGTGTTATTAGGAAAGGGGGGTAGGCAGTGGGATTGCGCCAAGGGGATCTCAGCGGCCAGCGCGAAGATGAAAAGAAGGAAGGTTATCTTGGCCGTCACCATTTTGGCTATTGTTGTCGTTGCAAGAACTGTGCTCGTTAGCTAAATGTGTATTGGATTCTTACTGGCAGCGGTAGATTTGTAAAAGTAGCCGACGAAATGTCTGATGAAGGTTGCTGTAGGTATATCGTTGAGGGTGAGTGATAGAGGTACTGTAAGTAGGATAGAAATTACGGGTTGATGTGTTTAATGTTGTCGATGCTAATTGGAATGTTCTACTGATCTCAGAACATGCCACGAATATAATATACAACATCTATTACCAAAGCAATCTTTGTTCTGAGAACAGCCATATTGTATGCAAACTGCATCCGTTCGACGATGAAGGATTCCAGAAGCGTGAAGCAGACAATGCCTTATTCTCCGAAGGTAAGGAGGATGCCATTGTGAGGTCACCAGCAAAATGTTTCGCGCTATTTGAATTACGTCGTCTTTGAACACTGACACAAAGTTATCTTTAATGGACGCCTCATCAAAGAGACGACGAGTCACAGTGATATCGTAACATAGAGGAAAAAGCTGCAAGTCAATGAGTTGATGCCATTGATCCTTGGACTGCGTTGAAGCAGTCTCTACCTAAAATAAAAGGCCGAAGTTGAGAACGCCGCACCAACTCCCGCCCATAGATTTTGTTTTACCCTCCCGGTATTTTGTTTTCCGCTTTAACAAAAGGTTTGAAACGCCTGAAGAAAATGCATCTAGTGTTGAAAACACCTTCCCTTTCATGAGCCATGTTAAATGTCATGCACGAGTCGCCCCGCGCTTGTTTTATCCCTTGTGAACCATGTCTGTTGAACTGGGCACGTATGCCCAATGTGGTATCAATCCAATCCTCCCTTGATCCAAGACGCCACTCCCTAGAATGAGCGGCGCAACTCTACACGTCGCTGAGCATCGTTTAGATGCCAGCGTCGACACGCCAGCCCTCAACAGGGAGGGGGAAGCCAGAGCTCCAGGCGGCGATCTCCTTGCGGAGGTCGTTGATCTTAGCAACGTTGCCGCTGGCAACCTGGGCCTTGAAGTCCTTGAGCTTGTTGGCCTCCTTAGGGAGAGACGCCTGAACCTCCTTGCAGATCTTGATAGACTCATCGATGTAGGTACCAACGCGCTCGAAATCGGCCTCGCCAAAGCCACGAGAGGTCATGGCAGGAGTGCCGATACGGATACCGCAGGGGGTAAGGGCGGACTTGTCACCGGGAATGGAGTTCTTGTTGCAGGCAATGTTGATCTGCTCAAGAACGGCCTCAACGCGAGCACCGTCAAGGCTGTGCTGACGGAGGTCGAGGAGGACCATGTGCGAGTCGGTGCCGTCAGCAACGAGCTTGTGGCCGAGGGCCTTGAACTTGTTCTCGAGGGCCTTGGCGTTGTCAACAACCTTTTGCTGGTAGGCCTTGAAGTCAGGGCTGGCAGCCTGCTTCAGGGCAACAGTGAGAGCAGTGATGGTGTGGTTGTGGGGACCGCCCTGGTGACCGGGGAAGACCGAGAAGTTGATGGGGTTCTCGAGGTCGTAGAGGGTCTCCTTGCCGGTCTTGGCGTCGACGGAGCGGACGCCCTTGCGGAAGAAGATCATGGCACCACGAGGGCCACGGAGGGACTTGTGGGTGGTGGTGGTGACGATATCAGCGTACTCGAAGGGGGACGGGATGACGCCGGCGGCAATGAGACCGGAGATGTGAGCCATGTCAACGACAAGGTAGGCACCAACGGAGTCGGCGATCTTGCGCATGCGACCGTAGTCGATCAGGCGGCAGTAGGCAGAGGTACCAGCAACGAGAACCTTGGGGCGGAAGAGGATGGCGTTCTTCTCGAGGGTGTCGTAGTCAATGATGCCGGTCTCGAGGTCGACTCGGTAGGGCATGGTCTCGAAGTAGGTGGAGACGGCAGAGATCCTGTAAGAGGCCTTTCGTTAGCATGCTGGACTAGTATTTCAGAGACGGCGGGCGCAGTCACTCACTTGCGCTGGGGAGTCTGGTAGCCGTGGGACAAGTGGCCTCCATGGGGAAGGTCAAGACCCATGAGGCGGCCGTGAACGGGCATAATGGCCTGGTAGACCTGGAGGTTGGCGGGGGAGCCGGACAAGCACTGGACGTTGACACCCCACTTGGCAGGGTCGAGGTTGAAGGCGTGGAGGGCACGCTTCTGGCAGAGGTTCTCGATCTGGTCAATGTGCTGGTTGCCGCCGTAGTATCTGGCGCCGGGGTAGCCCTCGGAGTACTTGTTGGACATGGGAGAGCCGAGAGCGTCGAAGACGGCACGGGAAGTGACGTTCTCAGAGGCAATGAGGATGATGGACTCGCGCTGGCGCTGAATCTCCTCCTTCATGATCTCGGCGACCTCAGGGTCGGAGTCGATCAGAGACTTCTCCAACATCTGGCAGTGAGTCAGAACCAACAGTCCTTGCGCGACGCGGCGGGGTAGAGCAGACTGACCTCCTTGTGGGAGACGGGGAGGGAGTAGGTAGAGCCATTGGCAGCCATTGTGACTTGTGGTGTGGCGGAAGATGCTTGAGAAAGGTGAAGAGGAGACTGGTTCACGCAAGCAATGGCAGTGAAGAGGTTGATGTGGAAAGGAAGAGAGGGAGAGGAAGAGACAGAGAAGCCAGCAAGGTTGGGAAGGGAGGGTTAAAGCTTGAAAAAAATTTGGGAGACCATCGGAGGAGCAAAATGTGAATGGCCGCATACTCGATGGAAGCGGTGGGGTATGGCGGGGTGTGATTGGCGGGGTCGAGTTGGCGACGCGGCGCAAGAAAAAGTTGTGGCGCTTGCCCCCTCCAGCGGTCAGGGTCGCTGAAGACGCCTTTGGCGGCTCCTCAACGTGCCTGTTGAGTGACACAGGGCAGTAAGGTGAGTTCCAGCAGCGGGACAGAACAGCCGCTGGAGACGCTAAGGCAATAGCGCATATCCCTGAACTCGCCTTAGTGGCGGGGCAGCATGACTCCGATTCTGGAACAGTGCCGCGAGTCAACGAGAAACGAGGACCCATTTCGACCATTGAGGAACGAGGGGTTTCGTCCGTTTCGCTCTTACTTCTCGTGAGTCGTCTCACGATTGCTCTCCCCAGCCATCGTGAATTGTCGGCTCAGCCGGATGCTCTGGTCAAGGCGTGGCAACGGAATGGCGAAAGCTTCGGTTGTGGCAAGCAGTTGTGACTCACGTGGTAGGAAAGACCTGCGTATAAATCATCTCGCAGAACAGCCAATTTCTCTCTCGCAATGAATCGAATGAAGCATCGTGAGCGCTGGCGGGCCCCATGAAATAAGCACCAACATGAATCAATCATAGTTTGCCGAGACTGGATGAGTGTTGTCCCATGCTTACAGGTAATCTTCTCGCTGCACTCACCGAGGTCTAAAACATGGAAGCGCGGTTACCACGTTCTTCGAAATTAGACCAGCCGGACTACAGCACAAAAGACCTGAGACGATGATGCATGCGATGTCGGCGATGCGCAAGTCAGACGTTTACAAGCCGAAGAGCTCATTCCGGGCAGAGCCCTGATAGGCCCAACTCAGAGGGTCCTCTGCTCTACCTACCTTACCTACCTTTGGTTGCTGCACAACAGCACCTAGCTACCTTACCAGTAATCGGCAGAAAAAGTCAATGCAACATAACCTCCTAGCCTCAATCTCTAATTTTCTATCGAGGCACGTATGGGCACAAAGTTGTGGCTGGCAGACAGACTGCCAACCTCCCACACTGTTTGGCATGCGAAGCGCTGCTGGCGCCATGATGATTCAAAGATGTCACAGCCCAGAACTGGCTGAGGCCTCTTGCTTGAATCCGAATCGTACCTAGGCGCATTCGGGTTTCTTGCATGCTGACTCATCCGGCCCTCCATCGCACCCACTTCAGGACCGAGCTCCGAGACATACGACCTGCAGCCGTGATGCTGTTGGCCTCAGGTACCAAGGCGCCAATGGCGTTTTGCCATCGTCCGGCCAGGCACCATAGCTTCCACGCAACGCGAACAGGCTCATCCGGGTGTCCCAGCATTGTCGGTATCAGCTTTGGGCAGGCAGGTACATAGCAGCTGGGCAGAGGAAGTAGGCCAGCAAAAGTACTGTGTGTTAGTTGGCCAGGTGTCTGGCTTCGAGCTATGGCACCGACTGCCCATCTTTGGCAAGCTCCGACCTAGGTATTGCTAGGTTAGGCACCTGCCTACCTGCGGGAGGTTGAGAACAGCTGAGGTGGGCAGAGCGAGTGACATGCTGGGTAGGTAGGTAAGGTAGATAGGTACTCATCTCAATTCTTATCTCATCAATCCACCCCGTTGCGTGATATGAGCTTCCCCGGGTCTGCTTATTTGGATGCAATGCATGGAGATCGCTTTATCTTATCGAAGAAGGCAGATGCAGGTGACGCGAAACGGCGGCAGCCAAAGAGAATCTGCAGGGACACGCGATCAGACACGCAAGCTCCGTCCTGGGTGCCTCATAGGCCTGTGAAGGCCAAGTGTGAGTGTCACCGAGTGTGTGAGAGCTGGGAGGAGCTCTGTCTCGGGCGGTCGGGGTTGCGTGCCTTGGAGCTTCCGTTCCTGCTGGTTGCTGGGGGCTCCATAAAACCCCGGGTTTTGATAGGCAGGTGTGGCACGTCGCGCAGTGATAAGGTACCTTCGGGACGTCATTAGCGGAGGCAGGTTGGGCAGGTCACGCTTGACACTGGGACTCCCCCCATGCTACTTCAACCCAGTATGGTGCCTGCGTACTTAATAGGTACTTCATCCGCCCCAGCTTCCGCTTCTTTCCCCCCGTCAACACTTCATCATCCCCATCCCGTTCTAACCCATCACTCCCCCCAGCATCAGCATCACCAAGACGCAGGCGCCAAAGCAACAAACGCTGGGTAATCGAGGTCTTCGATCACGATGAAGAGCACTCTCCTCACCGCGGCCGTCCTGTTGGGCGCCGCCCAGGCCGACGTCCACAAGTTGAAGCTCAAGAAGGTCCCCATCTCGGAGCAGCTGGTATGTCAACCCATCGTCGCGCATCTCCCCGAAACCCTCCGCTGACCTGACAATTGTAGAACGCCGTTCCCATCGAGCACCAGGTCCGCTCTCTCGGCCAGAAGTACATGGGCGCTCGCCCCCAGAACCACGCCGATGCCATGTTCAACCAGAAGCCCATCAAGAGCAACGGTGAACACCCGGTGCCTGTGAGCAACTTCATGAACGCTCAGTGTATGTCCCCTTGACGGAACCACGCTCGATCGTTGTGCCTAATGTATCTCTCGCAGACTTCTCTGAGATCTCCATCGGCACTCCCCCTCAGTCATTCAAGGTTGTCCTGGACACCGGCAGCTCCAACCTGTGGGTTCCTTCTCAGCAGTGTGGCAGCATCGCCTGCTACCTGCACTCCAAGTACGACTCGTCGTCTTCCTCCACCTACAAGTCCAACGGCTCCGAGTTCGAGATCCACTACGGCTCTGGCAGCTTGACCGGCTTCGTGTCCCAGGACGACGTTTCCATCGGCGACATCAAGATCAAGAAGCAGGACTTCGCCGAGGCCACCAGCGAGCCTGGTCTGGCCTTTGCCTTTGGCCGCTTCGACGGCATCCTCGGTCTTGGTTACGACACCATCTCCGTGAACAAGATCGTTCCTCCCTTTTACCAGATGGTCAACCAGAAGGCTATCGATGAGCCCGTCTTCGCCTTCTACCTCGGCGACACCAACGACGAGGGCGATGAGAGCGAGGCTGTCTTCGGAGGTGTTGATGACTCTCACTACGAGGGCAAGATCACCTACATCCCTCTCCGCCGCAAGGCTTACTGGGAGGTTGACCTCGACGCCATCACCCTTGGCGACGAGACTGCTGACCTCGAGGGCCATGGTGCCATCCTCGACACCGGAACTTCCCTGAACGTTCTCCCCTCTGCTCTTGCTGAGCTGCTCAACAAGGAGATTGGTGCCAAGAAGGGCTTTAACGGCCAATACTCGGTTGAGTGCGACAAGCGCGCCGAGCTCCCTGACATTACCTTCACCCTTGCTGGTTACAACTTCAGCATCTCCGCGTACGACTACATCTTGGAGGTCTCTGGCAGCTGTATTTCCACCTTCCAGGGCATGGACTTCCCTGAGCCGGTTGGCCCTCTCGTCATCCTTGGAGATGCCTTCCTGCGTCGCTGGTACTCTGTTTACGACCTCGGCAAGAACGCCGTTGGTCTGGCCAAGGCGAAGAAATAAACGCCTGCACAAACAACACTTTTCTTATCAATTTGTCGGCAAATGGAGGGATTCGGGCGGTGGCTGTAATTTATCTACCTAGGTACTAGTCTGGACACCAGTGTGCGAATACCATTAGTTGCATCTTTGCGCGAAATCACATAATTGCCGTGATGTTTGTTTGCCACAGCTGACCACAGCTATGCATGGTCTGGCGACGCAAAGGTACTTAGCGGGCACCTGGCGATCCCAGAAAGGGCACCCATGTCTGCCCATAATTCGGTGCTCCGTACAAGTACAAGACGGGTCCGCTGTAGGATAAGGTGCCTTACGGGGACACTGGGCATCAAACCAAAGGAACAGACGCCGCCATGTGTAATCGAAAATCTTGAGCTTAACGCTTGACATGAAAGTCGACCCAGTCAGTCCCCAATCTACTTTGCGGTGAATGTAGCTCTAACCGTCCGAGGTACCTCTCCAGCCAAGGGACGCGCAGGCCAGGACGCATCTCTCCCTGCGGCATCCATCACGTGAAGCGACCCACTGTATCCGACTGAAGTGGGACTAGCGTCAATCTTAGTCTTTTTCGCAGCAGTGGCATCAAGACAACAGTCTTCTGAGTACAGCCTCCCAACATACGCTGCAGGAAATTGCTCCAGGAGCACTTGCAAGGCCAAAAAAAAATCGAGAAACGGCAACGTCGATGGACCTCCGTTCATCTCCGGTTCCTTTTGTTTGCCCTTGAGTGTGTTCTTGGATGAAAAGATTCCCCCAAACGCTTAGTCTCTCGACGCTTGACGAAAAAAAGGTTTTGGAGTTCCACCAACCGACCGACCGACCGACGAACCTCGCGCGTCGCGACAATCCCGCCCTCCACTGGGCGACCTGCCACCCCCGTCGTCCCGCGCAACATCGACCTAACGAGCTGCCAACGAGCCCTGGCATCGCGACGACAACCACCACTCACTAAGATTACGACTCACTAAGCTTCGCAATGGCGCAGCCGGATTCGGTCCAGGCGAACGGCATCCCTGGACCGGACCATGCTGAGTCCCCCCAGCCCCAGCCCGTCGTCCCCGTGAAGAGGAAGCGCGACGATGATGAGGAAGCCAATGGCGATGGAGCCGAAAAGATGGATGTCGATGGCGAAACCACCCAGGTCCCGCAGGAGAGCCAGAAAGATGCCATTCGCAACTACTTCACTGTCTTGACCAGGTAGGGCCGCACTCACATCCATGCGCCTTTTGCGGCGCGCCCATACCCCAACGTCGCCTCGAAAACCGTGTCGTACTAACGTATTGCCCCTAGTTTTGATGCAAAGCCCTCAATTCTGAAGCGTCCGCTTCCTGAAGCCGATGCAGAGCAGCCCGACGCGAAGCGCCAAAAGTCCGCCGACCACGCGAGCACCATCGCCGACAAGGTCTCCAACGACTCCTACAATCACTTGGACGAGCTGGCGTCCGACCTCGTTGATGCCGTAAAGGATCAGCTCAGAGAACTGCAATCGACCGGGTCAGAAAAGGGCAAGGAGAAGACCGATGGCGCTGCCTTGGTACAAACCAAGAAGTTCCGAGAGAAGGCTATGGACCTTCTCCGCCGAGAGATATCGTACCCGCGTACAGCCGCGAATGCCCCTGACGTCAAGGCCGAAGTTGACCCTCTCTCGGGTTATGCGGTCTTGACAGTGTTTGGCCAGGCTCCCCATGCCAAGCAACTCTTCTCGAGTCTGCCCAAGAAGACGTCTGGTGCGGAGAACTCTGGCATCAAGGCATCTCCCTTGAACCTCCCTCCGGCTGTGTCGACATCCTATGTTGTCCCATCGCGATCAAGTGAGCGGGCCGCCACACTCGGGGAATTGTTCTCATCTAGTCGCCCGCTGCCGTCGCTGCAACCTCCCAAACAACCCAAGCAGATGGTTAAGGGCAATATTCTGGGCTTTTACCACCCTGAGCCAGCTGGCAAGTCCAAGTACTTCAACGATTCCTATTCGAGCAAGAAAGTGTCAGTAGGCTATTTTCTGGACTACACCAACGCGACCCCGTCGTCGAAGAGCAAGACAAGACAGCGTGAGCGTGCGCAGAGCTTGGCAGGCCGCAGACCATCGAGCACCGAAGTCGAAGTCAATGAAATGGAGTCACTATTCCGCAGTGCGTTTTCCAGCTTTGCCCCATGCAGAGATGATTCCACGTCGGTCATACCTTCGACCCACGCCGGCCGCCTGCACTGGCAATTGACCGGCCAACGGAATTTCAACAAGCTTGTTGAGTCTGAGCTGCGCGAGTTTGAAGATGAAGATAACATCGAGAAGCCAATTCAACAGGCGTCCGAGAAGGAAGTCGACGAAGAGTTTGTGAATGAGGCGATCGAGAAATGGGATGAGTGGCTTGTGGACCCCGCACTGCAAGACATGAATGACGTAGTCTCGAAGCCCAAGGAGAAGGATCCCGCCGACAAGGAGGTTGATGCTCTTCTCGACGATGTCACTGACATGATTGAGACTCTCCTCTCCTACCAGCGCATCCGCAATCTTACTCTGCTCCCATCGCAAAACCGCTATGCAGGTGACCCGGTCAATGGCGATCTGCTGTCTCATGGTGCTGTCTCAACTCCAACGGAGGAGGAGACTGCGACATACGAGACGCTCAAGGCCCAGTTGAGTCTCATCGTCAACAGTCTCCCCCCTTACGCTGTAGCCAAGCTCAACGGCGACCAGTTGGAGCAACTGCTCATCAGCACGAAGCTCGAGGTCCGAACAGACCAGTACAAGGGTGTCATGGAAGACGATGCGGCAACTCAAGCTCGTATGCGCCAACAGCAGAGTGTGGCTGCTGCGGCTCCTCAAAATCGGCCCGCCCCTCATCGCACGCCGAGCGCGTCGACCCCGTACAACCAATACGGGGCGAACCAATACGGCACCCCGTCCCGGACCCCTTCCGTTGCAACGACCAACTACTACCGTGCCGGTCAGCAGCCGACGATGCCCCAGCAGCAAGTTCCTCGTCCAGGTGGCACTCCCCACCACATGCCTCCGCATCAGACGCCGCGCCCTGGCCAACCCGGTGGATATCGCCCAACAAATGGATACACCAACTACGCACAGCACGTCGGAAAGACACAAACACCCTATGGTCACCAGGGTGTTCAATACGGATCACAGCAGAGGCCCCCACAGTACCCTGGATATGCTGGAACACCAACGCATGGCACGCCTAATGCTCGTTTCCAGCAGCCCTATCAGCAGCCGTACCAGCAGCAGCACCATCAGCCGCCTAGCACTCCGCAGCCAAATTACGGCGGCTACTATCCCAACGGAGGGAACAATATGCAACCGCGCATGTCACCGCAGGTGCCGGCCGGCCAGTATCAGTCTCCGACTCCGCACCAGCAGCAACGGCACTATGGGTCGACTCCTCAGCAGAACATGCCTGGCACGCCCATCAATCGTCAACAGTATCCGAACGGTAGCCACCAGTCGCAACACACACCAAATGCCGGCATGAATGCTATGACGGGTTACAATATGGCTGTTTACGAAGCCGACCGGAAGCGCATGGCGGCCGAACAAGCCAGGTTCAGGGCCGCGGCGCAGCAAACGAGCAATGCGTTTGGCAACAAGATGATTGCAGGCGGTCACGAGGCGCGCGTAGCTGCGGGCGAAACGCCCAAGCCACAAAGCCCCGTTGGCAGTGCTGGCAGAAACGGAACGCCTCCCATACCCCATAAAGTGACGCCTGTGCCCATACCCGTCATACCTCAACAGCAGCAGAGAAAACAGGTTTAGCAAGCCGGTCCGCTGCCAACAATATCGTTGTCGCGTCTCATGGCAGAACAACGTTCTGCAGCTCAAGTCTTACGGCCAAAGGTTTCTTCCGTGCCCATTCCAACGCCTTACTCGCCCCTAAATGGGTATCGAGGAAACGCGGCAGGAGCTGTTTCAGGGCCCTAGGTCTTGGCGTTCAACCACTTTAGTTCTTCGGTGTCTGATTATTGAGGAAGCGATGTCCTTTCGGAGTTGGTGAGGGGGCTCTGTTTTGCAGGTGGCAACGAGGCGTTGCATCGAGTTTCCAGGGGGCGGCCCAATTGACGATGGACGGACAAACAAGGGATTCAGACTGTTGAGACGCTCAAACCGAGCCACTGCAAGTCTGACCTATTTACGGCGTTCTGGCCTTGTGTTATTAGAGAATTTCGATGGAGAGTTGCGACGCATAGATGATCGCCAGAGGGCGTTTTCGTGTCGGAATAACCAGTGCAGACAATTACGTTTTCGCTGGTCTGTGGAGGCCCCCTTTTCTCTCTTCTTTTACTTTTTCAGTCTTATCCACGGCGAGGAAGGGGGTGTGGATGGGGAAACGGTTCATGGTTCACGGAGGAAGGCGAGTCTTGGCTCAAGTGTATAGAGTTTGAAGGTAGCCTAAGTACTTGCATCCTAATCAGAAACAATGGCAGTAAAATGTTCTAGCTATTATCTTTGACACATGCTTGGGTATCATGTCTCTGTGTGGCGGTGTCTTGCAAAGGACATAAGCCTTTATCTACGTGGCCCTTTGTCAAAGTCGTCCGAACCCGTCACGCATGAACTTTTTGATTGTTTGCACGCTACGAACAAGCTGATTCAAGACAACGTTCGGCTGATGTCGACCGTTGAAGAAGGCGGCAGAAACAATGAGGGGCAAGCTGTCAACGGTTGCGCTAATACGGAGGTGGAAATAGCTGCAAGGTTTCGGCTTACTGGGGCCGGCGGCAACGGCTCGTCGCAAGAAGTGCTATAGGCCAAGTGGCTGAATCGAATAGCACGCTTCTAGCCTTGCATCAATGAGACAGTCGTTCGCGACCTGCGTGCTTGGCCTGCTTCGTTGAGTTGAGGTCACTGGCCGCGCCCTTGCGAACCTGCTTTTTTGTAAAGAATCAAAAATGACGCCAAGAAAAACAGTGGCTACTAGTCGTACGAATCAGAGCCAATATCAAGACTGCAAACGGGATAACAGATGTCAAGACCAGAACGAGCAATAGAGGAGTAGTTTGCATTATCTAGGTAGTCTACTTCGCCATTTCTGAGGCCATCAGATCCAAGCCTGTTCACAAGAGATACCGGGGCTGTCCGTCTTCCTCCGATGATTTCTTATTTATTATCCCGGGCCAGCCCAGCATCATTATTTCGCAACGTTCCCCGCTTTACAAATCGTAACCAATCTACATCAGCCGGCGTCTCCTCACATTTCTTTCTTGCTCCAGGTCCGAATCATCATCATCTCGGCGACGACGGCGAGAACGGCGTTGCTCATCGTGCTCAACTCCCTGGTCCGCCTCGCCTTCTTCGATATTTTGTACAGCTTCAATAGGTCGTGCCATCTCCTGAAGCCTGTCAGCTGCTCTCCTCAGCCTCATCTCTGACTTTTCGAGGGCCTCCATGGTTGCGTCGAGAATGTCAGCTGCCAAGACGGGTTGCTTGAAGAGGACCCGGCGAAGATGCGTCCCGACGATTCTGAACCGCTTCATTTGATGAGCCACCATATGAGGGATTGATGCCAGGTGAAGGGTGAAGTAGGGGCTCGTTCCTAGGGTCGCATAGAGCTCATCGAGAACGGCAGGCAAGTCGACGTGAAAGAGAGCGTTGCGCACAGCGGCACAGAGCGCGGCTGCAGACTCTGAGAAGAGATCGAAGATTTCGAATTGTTGGGCCATTCCGCAGATTCGAGTGGAGTAGAACAGAGAGTGCGGAGTGTTGTCCCATACTTCCTCCTCCCCATCTTCTGCCTGCGTCTCCGCAGCCTGGTATCGGACCTGGTACTCTCCGGAATACAAAAAGGCAAGAACGCCTTCGAAGATCTCCGGTTCCAGCGGTAAATCGACGACGTCGACCCCGAAGAGTTCATCACGAAGCTGTAGACTCAGTGTTAATTTTGGAAACGCGTTTAAAAGGTTCGGGAAATGACTTACAGTTGACGACTCGAGAACTAGCTCCTTGAGCTTCTGGCACTGGGAGAAGACAATTGAACGGTGAACCTTGAAGGTCTGCTTGTTTCCCTTTTTGCCAGTGCACACAAGGTGGATGTCAGCGTACATGCCGGTGTTGAGAAGAGAAGACAAGTCGAGGCGGCCCATCTTGATGCCGTATCGATGTGATGATAGTCTTGAGATAGAAAAGCTTGCAAAAAACTTTGAGGCAATGAATCTGCTCTTGAAGTTTGAAGTTGAGTTGGGTTTTCGGGTTGCCAGCAACTGATCGTATATTGATTGAATCCGCGTAGAAGATCGGAATCGATAATCTTGAGACACTAGGCTAGATGTAGGCTGCCAGCAACCTTGTTGAACGATGAAGGACAGAAATTTGTTGGAGAATCGAGAGTGAGAAAACAGAAAATAAGGGTGGAAGATCGCAGAGAAGAAAAAGTGGATAGGTCGAGGGAGAGGTTACTGGGACGGTAGAAAGGAGAGTCGACGAGGTGAGATTTTGCTGGGGATAAAGAGAAGTTTTACAGGCTAGGGCCTTTCTCAAATTCACTATGGTCTCGAAACTTTTTGAACGGTTATGGGAGGCAAGTGCGATGGAAAGTTGAAAAAGGAAGGAGGGTGACATTTGCAACTTTGGTCTTCCTTGAGAGGCATCTCTGAGGTAAATCATTTTGATATTTACGACGATAATGAACTACCAGGTATCATTGCTTATAAGCAGAAGCTGGCGTGTTCTTTCTTTCTGTTTTGTTGTTGCCGTCGTCGGTCGTCGCCGTCGGTCGTCGTCGTCGTCCCAGTCAACAGACATAATGAAGCACCGCCATCCTTCACTTTGCCAACACGTCCCACTTCACTTTTCAGGTTGTAGATAAACCAGAAGCTTAGAAAAGGCATCTGGCATCTTCGTATGCAGGTGACTTTGCTCCTGACACTTTCAGAACAGTAACCTCTCACCGATCCACCTCTTCTCTCATCTACTTATGACGCTCATCCACTTCATTCATTCAACACCTCGCGAACCCGAAAATCTGGAGCAATCCGGGACCCATCTGACAGCTCCATGATTGAAGACTCCGAAATCCAACAAGATTGCTTTTATCTACTCTATACCGAGCAAGGATCCGATCTAATCTGGACTTTCAGGGTCGGACTTCAATTTGTCTCCGAGGCATCGTCTTTGGACAACGCGAAGCTCTGAAGAACGAGAGAGACAGTATGATTTGCCCTTCAAGCTAATACCCAGAAACAGCTGCTAACCTCATGAATAAAGGCGGAGAACTTTGCCTCTCCCGATCTGCCGCTGCCTTGGAAGCGGTATTGAGATTGATGCACTCCGGAAAATACGCACCCTTCGTCTCGCTGCGAGACCTCTACCCCCCAACTGCCCGGCACGAGTCAATCCGCCTGCCAAAGCTGGCCATTACAGAAACAATTTCGTCCGTGAATACGGTTCGATCGGCATGAGCATCACCGTCGAGGTCCTAGAGATAGCCGACCAGAATACATTCGTCTTGTTTGTGCTTAGCCCGCCCTTCGGCTTTTTTACGCCTCTTCTTTGTCTTCGATATTGCTACTGTCGTCGCCATTGTCGGCTTCCTTCATCATCACCTGGTCCATGTGTTGATTAGAATATTTGACATATTTTACGGGGTATCTATCCGGGTCTACGGTTCCGTCTTCCCTAATTCATTTACAGGTGATGATACACATACAGTGGCTTCCCCTTCCTCCAGCCTTTTGACCATATCAATCACTGCTTTCAAGTTTTGATGATCACCCCACTTATCGCTTGCGATATAATCCTCCACCTCCTCATCAGAAGACCAGTGCAGTGCCCCATTATGGGCCATCTCCTGGTGTATAGGCTTTACAACCTCATTGCCTAGCATGGGCTCGGCGAACGCCCGGAACGCTCGTACTGCCCTCTCCAGACGCTCCATATCGGCAAGTGACAGACCGCCTAACGCCGTCGTCACCGCGGGTAGCCACTCGTTGGTAACCCATTGAAGAAGCGATAGCATCTCCTCGTAGTCGCCGACAAAGGCTAGCGTGCGCATATAGTTGTTGATGTGAGACGCTGTGACGAGCCGGTTCACCTTTGGCTTGGCAATTGGACCAGTGGTCGACAGTGCCCTCCATGCGCTCTTGAGCTTCCTCGTTGCGTCGCACATAACCTCGTATGGTGTATCAGCTGTATTGCAGCTTCGTTTTTGGAAGATGGGAGACAGAGCTGTCTTCCAACACTGGTGGTCTTTGCTGGAGACGAGTTTCGGTGCCTTGGCGGGAGTGCTGTGGAGACTATACAATGACAAGAAGTTTTGACTCTCGCGGTTATTCTCTCTGCGACTGTTCCTCAGAGGCAATAGCCCCATGCATGCAGCCTTGAGCATCGCTCGAGCATACGAATGGAACATTAACAAGCTCAAACCGCTGTGAGCCTCCGCCCTCTCCATGACCTCTGTAGCCAACAGAAGCACCTCTAAGCCATTCGTTTTGGTCTTGACGGCACTGAGCATGATATTGGGTCGCGCAAGAGCAACTAATATCGACTCCCAGGGCGCTCTGCTGCTATTCTTTGTCGAGATCCATCCTTGCTGAGCGAGGCGGAACGCATACCGTATGCGGAGAAAGTGTTTCGGATATAACTTGGTCTGGCCTTGCGTGCGATTTGGCTGCAGTTTACAGAGCAATTCAATACACGCATGGAGAATGTCCAGAGGAGGCGTTCTCAGCAGAGATGGTGGAAGGTCCGTGAGAGTCTCCATGCATCGTCGGATATCCCTTTTGAAACCGCCGGATATACCGCTGTAATCGATGTAATCCATCGCATGGGGAATGGTTTCTGCTGTCCTAATGAGAAAAGCTAGTTTTTTGCCTTTGATGACAATGCCCATCTTGAACATCTCGTGCGTCAGAGCACGTATAGTGGGCGGGCGTACTCTAGCTTTCTCGAAATCGGTAAGGTTCCTGTCGTCAAACGGAGAAACCTCTCGGCCGTCACCTGGCAGGTTGTTGTGATCCAGATCAGCTGGCTTGGCGGCGATCTTGACAATCAGCTCCCAGTACACTTGCCAGTTGGGTTCCATGTTGGCCTCTGGAGGGTTCTTGAATATAGCCCATGCCTCCTGTGAGTTCCGAGTGGTCCGAATAAGTGCTGCCCAAGCTGCTTGATCGTAGTGGATACGGCGAGGGTAATTGGCTCTGGTCTGGACGGTAGGCGAACCATCTGGGGCTCTGCCACCTAGGATATCGGTGACGTCGTCTACTGGTTGCTTGGCGTAGCCGGCTTCTTGCATCATCATGCCGGCCTTGACGACTCTGCTCAAATAGTCCTCAGCGTTCGCCTTTTCTTCCATGCCATCTCGCAAGATTCGATAGGGAGGCCACGAGCTGGCAAGGGCACTGGCCGTGTCCCGTTCGGTGACGGTCTTTGGTAGCATGAGCAGGATTTGCCGGATTGCCCGGTAGCTCTGGCGCTCAATGATCAAAGGTCGTGGCAGGCCGGAAGAAAGAGACAACAATGCTGTGATGGCTTTCCAGTTGCAAGTCGCGCGGTCGTATGGCTTTTCCGTTGCGGGTTCGGAGACAGCTTGTAAGGCGGCATTGAAAACGCGACACTGCATACTGTAGGTCTTATCCTGGCGCATCTGCCTTGTGCGTGATTTTGTCAATGGAAGACCACTGATGTAGGATACTGCTAGATTAGCTATTTCAGGTAGAATGTCGGGCTGGAGCCTGGCCGCGTGATAGCCTAGCTTCTGAAGCAAGATGCAGAACAGGACAAAATGCATTCCCAGCTCGTGAGAGTCTGGTGCGCCAGGGCTTTTCTGCTGTTTGCCGGAGTACCATTCTTTGCAATACTCCAAAAGCCCCCAGAGGGACTCTCGATCTGAGAAATACGGCCTACTGCTGAGTAGGTAGAAAAGAACAAACAGCGGCTTGTGATGCTCCTTGCTCAGAAAGCCTCGTACTCTCTCGTCCGCATCTTCGGCAACGAGTATTTTTGTCCAGTGTGTGACTTCTCCAACGATATACCCCCTACGTTCCAAGAGCTTGGGCATAGTCTCCCAGTCGGGGCTGTACAAGCGGGCATGGATGCGCGGGTCAAGTTTGGGAATCTGTCGCAGGACTAGCTGGGCCGTGATGACGCTGAGCGAAGATTGCCTTAAAGAGGCAAGAAGGAGAAGGTCGGCTAGTTGTGCGGCGGACAGGGTTTGGTTCGGGTTACGGTAAAGTTCGAGGGCGCCGGCGAGGAGCAGTTCTTGGGAAAATGAGCGCTCGCCGGCAACGATGGGCTTGTAGACCGACTCTAATGAGCGTTGGTGGTGATCGTCTTGTTGTATTATGCGCTCAAGTTGCGGAACTTGGCTGACGGCGGCGGTCTGGGTGGATCGGATGTCATGGCGTCGGCAGAGGTGCTGAGTCTTGTTAGCTATGGCAGGGGAAGCTTCTTGGGAACACCCACAGCTCGCCAGGTAGGAACCGATGACCATCGGCCCTTGGTCAGGACAAAAGGGTATGATCTGGAGATGGGAGGCAGCCGCATTGCCCCATCTTCGCTGACAGGCTTGAGAAATCCCACGATTGAGATGCAGTGGGCCTGGTTGGCAAGTAGGTCGAAAGAGGTTGTTAATGCCGATATGTCGCTGCGTCGCCGCGGGACGCACGAACTTTTGTGATCACGTGCTGATAAGATAACCACCCGCATCGGCAGTTAACAGCAGCTCTGACTTTGAGGACTGTCCTCGCCCAAGCCACGACCGATCATTGTGTGTCTTGGGTGTCGAAAGGCCCATTCAATGGCGTCAAAAGTTTCAAAATGCGGCCATGCCATCTCACCATAGCGTCGTACCTCAACCGTGGCTTCCACACCGCACGTTTCACGCCCCGCCCGCAGCGATACTTCCACCTAACGACTCCAACAAGCCAACCTCGAAAGCGCAACTTTTTTACTTCCAACGTCTACCTTTCCCAGAGCACTGGTGAACCGTCTCCGAGGCAGTCGAAACCTGAAAATGGAGAATCATTACTGCCCACGCCTCCGAAGCGCAAAGGCGTTCGTTCTGCCGGCGCAAAGAACTCTCTACGTCGGGTGGCCATCATCGCTCAACGGCCAGCGCAACGCAGTGGTGGCGCCCTATCTGGAGAGTCCGTCGATGCATCTGCTTCGACCCTGATCAGCGCCGTCTGCGTTTCCGAGTCTTTCGATATGGGGTTGGTGCTAGATACACTACGGGCGCATGGGTTCGATATCGACCCAGACCAGAGCGGATTCGAGGCAAGCGAGGTTGTACATGCCCGCGGTGTAAATGGAGGCGACATCTTTGTATTCCCTTCTGGAACGATCGTGACCTGGGCGCTGCCTCCTGATGTCGTCACTAAACAATTGCTCGGCGCGGCGGAAACGCCGTTGAAGCCGGCTCTGCGGGAGGTTGAGGACCTGGAGTATGTTGCCGACTCGTCGAGGGAAACGAGCGGCATGAAGGGTGACATTGTGGTACTTGGGACGAAGCTTGAAGAGAGGGATGGCGATAGACTGGACACGACGCTGGCCAAGATTGCCTTCTCTTCTGGGCTAGCGAGGAGCACCAAGCTGGCCGTTCTCGAAACAGCCTTGACGGCGTACTTTGAGAGTACCAGGAAAATCCCGTCGCTGCTGTCAAAGGGCTCTGGGCTACCCCTTGGTAGGAAGTTTATCTTGCAGAAGACGGGCGAGTTGTTGAGTCTGCGCGCGCGGCTCAACCACTACTCGGAGCTGACAGACTCCCTCCCGGACATTTTCTGGGACAGCCGTGCCGAACTAGGTCTAGAAGGGTACTATGAGCAGGTCGGACGAGCGCTTGACGTAAACGTGCGGATTCGAACGTTGAACCAGAAGATGGACTATGCGCAGGAGATTGCGAGCGTGCTACGAGAGATGTCTAGTGAGCAGCACAGCACAAGACTGGAGTGGATCATCATCATCCTCATTGCTGTCGAAGTCGTCTTTGAGCTGAGGCGGATTGTGTTGGAGTGGAAGGAGGAGGAGGCACTAGAGAACGCCGGGAAGAAATGAGGAAGCAGATCTGAACCAAAGATACCCAACTCAATCGATTGTCATCTAGACTCATATGCCAATCTCTATTTCTATAAAAGATATGTTGCACGGTCGAAAATCGATCACAACCGCCAACAACCTTGACTTCGCATCACCACCTCAGCTCTAGACCTGCGCCTTACATACCTCAGGCCAGCCCAGCTGGTAAAGTTACTGCAGCATACCTTAGCGGGTGAGCAGCCGCCAGGGTCGTGGTACCCACGACCGCCCTGCACGAACCCGCACCTCCATGCCTTACCTTATCTTATTGGCCAATCCTGCTGCAGGAACGCTGCGAAAACTCCACAGCAGGGTCGCGCTTGCCCAATCTGTCAATCGCAAAGCGGGATTGGCCGCCTTCAGTGTCTCCGCAATTATTCTTCAATGTCAACACAGGCAGTCTACGAATACCAAAAAAAAAGCACATTAACTTCGACAGGTCAAGTTGCTGTGCAACAATTGGGCTTCAGCTTTTTATCTTTTTATTTTTCCGGGCCACCACACTTGCGCAAGGTATCTGCACCAGAGCAGGCGAAATCGGGTCTTTCCCTTTGCCCGATGCTCCCTGTTTTCAAAACATTCACTTCTCACCTCGCCCTCAACTTCGCATCGTCAACAGGGCGCCGACAGCTTTGACTCTTTGAGGCGCGCCCGGACCCAACTGCTCACACAACCAACGCGTGCCCGAGTCTCATCCCGCCAACGAACATAAATCCCTGCACATTTTCACAACGTCTACAGCACACAACGCGCCAGCGCCTGCCGCGTGCGCGTGTTGCGCTTACTTTCTGAGCAACGCTTGCCGAATGGTAAGAATGAGCAGTCACCATGCCAGGTCAGCCCCTTCCTTTAATTATGTCGGCAGTTTCTTACCTAATGCAGGCCCCATTGAAGACTACGAGGACGAGCTTGGCAATCTGTTGGTTGCGGATTACGATGAAGGCCGAGACTGGGAAGCCGCCGATGATCTCGCTAAGATCGAGAACCGCGAGATCCTGCGAGTCTTAGAGAATCCGGCTGTCGCCGACCCGTCGGATGACGCGCCTGTGCTGCGAGAGTTTCGTGGGGACGCGCAAACCGTCTTCCTGCCGCCAGATTTTCAGCCGGTCACAAACATCTCCGTCGACCTCCCGCCAAGCACTCTTATTTCGCCGCGATACCTCTACCAGGGCCAGGAGCTCCCTGCTCCAGTTGATCGGGAGTTCAGGGTCGTCCAGAAGTTGCTAGAGGAGCATCGGCGAACAAGTGAAGGAGGGGACGACTTCATTGACATTGAACTCGACCAATTCACCGTATTTACCGAACCGTACATGGGTGGGCTCACAGAGGCCTACAAGAAGATGCAATATCCAGGAGAGATGCGACCACTCCAACACCTTTCAATCAAAATTGGCTGCAAAGTCATGTTCGCGGCTGGAGTCTTGTCAGTTGGCGACGCTCGGTACTTTGTACCCAAAATTCCTTTTGAAAAGCTACCTATCGGAAACTATGGCCTGTCTGAGAGTACGGTTGGTCAGGAGATATGGATCCAGTCACAGATGAACACCAAGTATAAGGAGGGTGTTTATTACCGTCTGAAATCCCCTTCGCCAGAGTACAGAAGATTTCACATGGGTTTCATGTGGATAGCAGACCTTTCGAAGCATGTCGTCGACTACCTCTCCGCCGCGGTAGATGCTGGACGTCGCGTGTTGTTCAGAGAGTTCCGATCTGATTTCAGTGCATGGCTTTTAAAGCACCACGGGGCTTCTGAGGCATTCACTCGCTGGCGACAACAGCTACCAGGGAACGACTTCCGCACAGCAATTGTGGCCAATCTGGACTTTATCTACAAGGAGGTACATGGCGTTCTCGGTCAGCAAAAGACCAAGTCCATCTATATGTGGAAAGAAATTCGCGACTACACCGCCTACCCAGACACTTCGAAGAAGACACCATCAACCCCAACCAGCGGCGCATCCTCCCCAGCACCAGGTAAAGCAGCCCAAATCGACAAGACCATCGTTACATCTTACATATATGAGCTCTTCAATCATCTGCCATGCGGCTCGATGATGGAGGCCATGGCCCCAAGCCCCCGAGCCGAGAAGTTGCGAACCAATCTCATAAGTGCTTACAAGTTAGAGTCATCGCCAAGCCCCCATACAGCTGCACACCAAGCACACGAGAAAGTTACCAGAGAGGTCTGGGTTGGCGATGTTATTTCTACGACAAGGGATGGCGATGGCTCTCGCTGGGATAGAGAGGTTGCTGCTGGCTTTGATGATGTCGACCGGTGGTTTGGATTGGTCCAGAAAGTCCACAAGTTGAGGGATGAAGAGCGGTGCTTCGATGTCATTTGGCTGTACAGACCCGTGGATACCCTATGTGGTTCCATGAAGTATCCTTGGAATAATGAGCTGTTCCTCTCAGACCACTGCTCGTGTGGGGATGGATGTCCTAAGATCAAAGAGAGCGAGGTTCTCTCTATCCATGATATTCACTGGGGAGGCGCTGCAGACACGAATGCAGAGTTCTTTTGCCGACAAACATACCTCACTAAGCCGACAACACACCGATGGGTTACGGTTCAGCAGAGCCACCTACGTTGTAACCACCAGATTGAGGCTTTCGCCTATAAAGTCGGCGATAGTCTTCTCATCAGTCCTGAGAATCCTGACGACCTAGCTGAGCCTTACGAGCTAGTCTCAGGTCCTGACGAGGAGAACATTGTCGTTCTTAGACGTCTGTTTCGCAGAAGCCAACTGGAACCCAACACGAATACACCCCGGAACGAGCTTGTCTACAGCAACGAGACGACTTCGATCGATGCCTATCGCATCCACGGCAGGTGTCTTGTGCGTTTCTTCAGACGCGACGAGCCGTTATTGCCTCCCTACGGTCGAAACGGCGTCGGCAATGCCTTCTTTGTTACTCACCATGTCGACTCATTAGGGCAGATCGTTCGCATGGACGATGCCCCTCCTACGCTGAGGCAGGGGTTCGATCCCTCAAAACAGGTCCCCAAGCTTCGAGGAGTCGATCTGTTTTGCGGAGGCGGTAATTTTGGACGCGGCCTTGAGGAAGGGGGGGCTATCGAGATGCAATGGGCTAATGACATCAACGTACGTGCTATTCACACGTACATGGCAAATACCCCGGGCGAAGTACATCCTTTCGCTGGCTCTATTGACGACCTGCAGCGACTTGCGTTGGAGGGCAAGTTCAGCGATAAAGTTCCGAAAATTGGTACAGTGGACTTCGTGTCTGCTGGTAGTCCGTGTCCAGGCTTCTCTCGCCTTACCGTCGACAAGGCCACCCCGGAGCAACGCAAAAATCAGTCACTTGTTGCCGCCTTTGCCTCTTTCATTGACACCTACCGACCCAGGTACGGCTTATTGGAGAACGTCCTGGAGATCGTGCAACCACGCAGGGAAAAGAACGAAGACGTGTTCTGCCAACTGATCTGTGCCTTGGTTGGGCTTGGGTATCAGACGCACTTCTTCTTGTTAGACGCATGGTCCTATGGCTCGCCACAGAGCCGAAGTCGTGTGTTCCTATGCTTTGCAGCCCCGGGCCACAAACTCCCGGAGCTACCTCTTCACTCGCATTCACACTATCAGCCAGTCTTTCGTTCCAAAACCCTTGGCAGATTGCCTAACAAAGAGCCGATGGGCGAGCGGCTGGTGATGCCCACACCATTCAAGTTTGTTGGAGCTGCAGACGCAACTGCAGACCTTCCGGACATCGTCGATGCTAAGGTTGACATCTGCATCCCCTTCCCAGACCACCGCCTTGCACATGGTTATACAAAGTATCTCCGGAACCAGCTTAGTGTTATACCTACCCATCCCTACGGCATGAACTTTACAACTACTTGGAAGGAGGGTCATGGAATCATGACGAAGGCAGAGAGAGACTTCTTCCCCGCGAAGGGCGACAGGGTCACACAAGCATCCTCGCCTGCGTGGGGCAGGTGCTTCCCTCAGAAGGTTATGCAAACGGTGACAACAGCCCCTTCTCCAGCAGACGCGCGACTCGGCAGGATCCTGCACTGGAACCAGAATCGAATTTTGACGGTCATGGAAGCTCGGCGCGCCCAAGGATTCTTGGACCATGAAGTTATTCTGGGACAGCCCAAAGACCAGTGGAGAGTGGTTGGCAACAGTGTCGCGAGAGAGGTGTCTCTAGCTCTGGGACTGTCTTTTCGAGAAGCTTGGCTCGGCTCTCTGGTCGATGGGGATGAGGCTGACCCTACGCTGGGCCAACAATCGATACTCAACGACATGGATATCACACAACTGAACACGTCGCCTGGGCCAAGTTCTAGGAGCACCCCTAGTGCTGGTGCCGATGCTCTGGTCTCTTCGCGTCCACCGAAGCGGCCCCTCGAGAGCACCTTAGAAGTGCAGTTGTTTGTGTCTAAGATGGCTAAGACCAGTGCAGACAGCGAGTGATACGCAGTAGAGGGTTATGAATGGCGTTTTGGGATAGAGAAGGACAAAGCATCTGGCCAGACAGGCTTGCGGAGGTGATTTTCTGGAGAGGTTTTGCAAAAGCATTCGAGATACCCGATTGGAGAACCTACAGAGGAACGCAGAGCGCGGGCAGATTTGCACTAGAGCCGCATATAGAGAGGCTCTCATAGATCTGCATTGCGTACGAGATACCAGAAGCAACGAAAATCAGTTGCATAGCATAGACAAATAATTCTTCACCACGCTTGCTTCTTTGTGTGATCCTTCTCGTCTGTAATATGTTTTGAATTGATTGCGATACAGTATCTAAAAGCAACGCTATTTTCCCAACCTAGATTACGTAGTTGACAGGAGGTGTAAAGCACAGGGTATTAATAATATTTCTTTCTAATTCGTTCTCGAATGGGCGCTCAGCTCTCTCACTGGCCCTTTGTGACGGTAACTGTCTCCGTCTCCTTCACTGTGACCGTTGCCGTCACGATCTCCTTCTCCGTGACTGTCATGACGAATCCGAAAGCATCGGGGCTGGCCTTCGCCGCGGGCGCCGTCGGGAGGACTGTCGGGACAGTGGACGGGATCGGGTCAAATGTCAGTGTGCCGGTGACGGTGACAGTGGTGGTCGCAGGCGGTGCAGATGTCTCTACAGATGTTGAGCTGCGTGTGCGACGACGGGTGGAGGTCGACAGTGTCGTGGGCTCCTCTGCAGCCGTTGTGCCCTCTCTTTCTGTGGTAGTTGGTGCCGGGTCGGGCTCAACCGTCCTCGTAACGATGACGGTCGTGGTGAAGCCCGGCGAGGAAGTCTTCTCAGGCGGGGCGACGAGGACCGTAGACGTGGCGGTGGCAATTGGGACCGCTGGGCTTGTGGTCTCTGGGCTGCTCGGCGGAGTCACCTGGATTGTGGACGTGGCGGTGACGACTGGCGTGACAGTCATTGTGACCTCTGATACTGCGGCACTTGTAGAGGATCCCGGGGCAGACACAGCCTCTCCGAGAATGTTGCTCGCGACGGTAGGGTTGTAGCAGCCGACGACGACCCCCTCTGTTGTGTTCATAGGAAGGGCGAAGCATGACTGGTCGTTACCGCAGCTCACGATGTCGAAGGCGCCGTCGGAGCCACATTTTCCGATGTTGCCTTTGACGCAGGCGACTTGGCCGTTACTACAAGCAGACTGCTCGGTGAGGGTGGCGAAGAGGACATTGAAAGACTTGGCGTTGGCAAGGTTTCTGGCTGCAACCTCTGGGGAGATGGTCGCCGTGGCGGCGGGGAGCGAGGTCTCAATGGTGGGGACGCCGACGTTGGGAGAGCCTGTGACCTTGAGAGTTGCCGATGATGGGGGTATGGTCTGGAGTGGTGTTGTTGATGAAGCCGGGGTATCATGGGAGGTGGGGGCGGGCGTAGATGAAGCTTCAGCCTTTGCGGTGGTGCTGAGCACAAGAGAAGTTGATGATGCGACAGGCTGGACGGAGGTCGTTGTAGTCTCGCCAGGGACGGGGAACGCAAAGGACAAAGACGACTGCATCCCATTGGAAGGTCCTCGCGAAGCACCCTCTTCACCTGCGGCGGTCGTGGTCGGCCCGGTCGGGGTTTCAGTCAGACTGCTTGCTGGCAGGAGGGCCGACCCATTTCGAAGGCCTGTTGTCGGATACGGAGGTAGAGCGATAGAGCTGAACATGGGAGGCAGAGTGGCTACAGTGGTCGTGGAAGCACCGCCTGATATTGTTGACGGTACTGATATCGTGCTCAGAGGAGGAGGGAGGAAGACTGCGGTGCTCGACGACTGTACAGCTGTCGTTGAGGGGCCTCGCGTGGCTGCTGATGTGCTTTTCGTGTCGTCGATGGTGCTGAAGACAGGACTTGGTGTAGATCCATCATCCTCCTCCTTTGCCGTTACTGCAGCGGCAGAGGTGGAAAGATGTCTGTGTTCGTGTGAGTAAGGATCGTCGAAGGAGGTTTTGGGGACGTACGTTGACTCTGGTGTACTAGAGGTGACACTGACTGAGATGGTAGAGTTCCAGCCCCTTCCGAAACTGCGACTGATGTTAGTGGAGTACGACCATTATGCTGTATGTACTGACAGTCTCTCAGCACGTCTTACCGGACCAGCCTGCGTAGTCTGAGATAACAGGAGGAGGAGCAAGACGTCTGCTATGCGAATACTGGAAAACATTGTGGGAAATGAGTGAAAGTCAACCAGTGGGTATGTCTCTTCGTCAAGAAGAGGTATTATGAGTAAATGATATCCACAATGGGATGCACCACGCTGGACAAAAGAGAGGGGGACCTTGCGCGAGAACAAAGATGATGATCAGCGCAGATCAGAAACAGAACGCGAGACAGCAAAGCAGCAGAGGACGTGGAGAAAGAATGGAAGGCAAAACACAAGGAAAGTGAGTAAGGACAGAAGGAAAAGAGCGAAGGGCAGGCGTCAATATGACTAGAGGGTACTCGAAGAAGGCTGATGACGGAGTCTCGAACACTGGTTTGAGGCGAGGGGCAGCCCCGTCTTGTATGACTGGCATGGACAGCAAACAGCCTCTCCGGGGTCCAGACTTCTGGGCCTGTCGTGGCCCATTCGAGCAGCCGGGCTGTGAAGCCATTCGAAACAGACCATCGCGAATTGGCAAGGCGAATGGAGCAATTTAAATGAGGTCCGACAGCTTGGGGGATTTTCGGCCAATCCATTGCGCTGCTCTCGATCTGGTGGCCAGGGTTGAGCTGCGGATGAGGTGCCGTCATTGCGACTTGGAGAAACGTTGTTTTGTTAAGCGCCTCTGTCAAATACGAGAAGAAAAAACGAAGTGTTCTTGGGGAGAAATGGGACGGCGAGGTGTTTCTTGTCGGGTCGACTGCAGACGCGCGGGAAGTTATTATTGGCAGCCCCGGATCCCTGCTGCGTTCCCCGAGAGCTGCGAGCCAATGAATGCCACAGCGCTTACACCACACGGGACAGGCGGCCCAGGGGGGGGGGTTGACGGAGTCCAGTCCATCTTGGTGCCATAAAGAGCACCACATGTCTGCATGCTCCTGTTCAGGATTGAAAATGTCGACAAAACACTCGTACAATTGATGTGAGCCTGCTAGAGAAAACTTGATTGAGCGTCGACCTTTTTCTTTCTTGCCTTACTCTGACTGGGACGCAACGCACGCGTGTTGGCGGGCGAAGAGCCACTGAAACACATGGGCTGGCCAATGACACAACAGGCCCTGGCCGAAATCAGCATGTGGATCAGCGCTACGATACTGGGGATACCTGTCCGGGCCTCCCTGAAGTGAAAAAGAAAAAGCATTGCTCATCTGAGGGAAAAAAGCGTTTGGATTTTGGTAGTCAACGCCATCATGAGTGAGTCGCGTGATGGAATAAGTTACCTCCCGTAGGTACTACCTACATCATTCATGACCGACCAGACTCAACTTCATCAAAACCAGCAGAATAACTCATTGCCGCAATGTGAGAAATCTCTCACCTTCCAATGTCTTATCAGAGTATGACTGACCAAGGCACGTGGCCTCTGCAGCAGCAGCAGCAGTCGTGCCACCTTCCCCTCTGGACCACCCAGCCAAGGCCCAAATGAGGGGAAAACACCATCAAACGACGTCGAAATATGCTTCCTTACCAACGCTGCCGTGGGCACGTTGCACATTGGGTGGCGTCCATTGGGGGCTAGTCCATCATTTCTCCGTCCGCCAAGCCTCACCTCCGCTAGGAAGCGGCTTGGCATGGATCCCGAAGTGCATCACTGATGATCTGCAACAGGCGACGGGACAATGCATTGTCATCTTTCTGCGAGACATTCAGCAAAGGCCGGCCTCAATTCCGTTATCGATGTCTTGGAAATTCCTCACAGTGGTGGTAGAAGACTAGTGCGTCCTCCCGCTCAAATCATCTGCCGCCATTGAATGTGATCCGTCATGCCAAGAGAGCCTGCATCGCTGGCGGACTGCATTCGTCGAATTATTGATGTGCGTTGCATTACATGTAATGAAGCCAAGATGTTCAGAGTCGAGTACATATATAGCCGAATCATTTGGCCATCACCTTGAGAGGAAATTGGTTCTTGCGACCACCCTGAGGTCCTTGTTGTCCCTCCTTGTCGCGAGAAAAAAATCTGCCCTCTGCATCTTTCCAAATCACACATTCACTGGTCCATGAGCAAATTGCCAAGATGCATACAGCTTCACTTTCTCTTTTCGCGCTGGCAAATGCCGCGTTTGCCGTAGATGTGAAGAACTTCATCTACATCGTCCCCGATGGATATGGGCCGGCATCCCAAACCATGGCTAGGGACTACGTTTCCTTGATGCAGAATGGCCAGAACGAAGGAGCTCCAGTTAGCATACAACTGGCAGCAGACAAGCTGGTAAGAGCGAACCCATTATCACGAACCCCCCTACTGACGACATCATTGAGGTGATTGGGAATGTCCGCACCCAATCCAGCGATAACTTGATCACAGACTCTGCAGCCTCCGGGACTGCCTTTGCCTGCGGCGTGAAGACATACAACTCTGGTAGGTTGAATGAAAATCATCTTTGAGGGGCATAGCCTAACAAGAACCAGCTATTGGCGTCGACCCTGACGGCAAGCCCGTTGGATCCATCCTTGAGGCTGCCAAGTTCGCGGGCATGAAGACCGGCTTGGTCGTTACAAGCACCATCACCCACGCCACCCCTGCAAGTCTGTTCTCCCATCCTTGAGGCAAAATTCGAGACTAAAAAAACCAGGCTATGCCGCTCATGTTGCTAATCGGGGCTCCTACGAAAAGATTGCGGAGCACGAAATAGGGTATAATCACCCGCTCGGCCCAGTTGTCGACGTTCTGCTTGGAGGAGGTCGATGCTTCTTTAAGCCGCAATCAGACTCGACCTCCTGCCGCGAAGATGAACTCAATCTCTTTGGGTTCGCCGAGGAGAATGGATACCACATCATGCAGGATCGTCCTGCTTTTGATGCTCTAAACAAGGGTCTTGGCGACATCGGCATCCCCTACATTGGCCTGTTCAACGATGGTAGGATCACCTGATGTTGGTCCTGACGAGGCTGACATTGTCCAGACCACATGATGTACGAGATTGACAGATCTCGTCAACCCGAGAAAGAGCCCTCTCTTCTCGAGATGGTTGAGACCGCTCTCAACTCCCTCACACAAGGTTCCCAAGACGTGGGATACTTTCTGATGATCGAAGCCTCCCGTATCGATCATGCTGGCCACGCCAACGACCCCGCCGCCCACCTCTTCGACACCGTACACTACAACGAGGTTATGGGCTTCGTCCGGGAATGGATCGACAAGCACCCCGACACGATGCTCATGTCAGCCGCGGACCACGAGTGCGGTGGTCTTACGCTAAATGGCTTTAACCCTCTTCCCATGGCCAATGTTAACGCCTCCACCCAAGCTCTCATGAAGCTTTGGGAAGCATACACTGGCTCTGACAAGAAGTCTTTCCTCATCAGCGAGATCTTGCCCGAATATGGTCTTGCCGACGCCAAAGATGCCGAGATCAATACTCTCCTCGAATCGAGCGATCTGAGTTCTGATCTTGGACGGCTGCTCTCTAGCAGGTCTGGTGTTCACTGGTCCACGGGCGGACATACGGCCACGGATGTCACTCTGTACGGCTATGGTGCCGGCGATAACGGTCGTGCCATCAGGGCCGACATGGCTGGTAATTGGGACAACACCCAGCTGCCCAGGTATATCGAGAAGGTCCTTGACATCGATATGAACGAGATCACAACCCTACTCCGGGCCAACGGCACTGGCTGGACCGAAGTCAAATCCAAGCTGCGTAAGCGTTTTGATGAGCACATTGACGGTCACAACCATGGTCACTGATGTTTGTGTATGGATGAAGGAGAACCTGTACATTCCAAGTATCCATTCTGGACAGTAGTTTTGGTTGTTGCCATAATATCTATGCCTGCTACTGCAGCCTTTTGCCATTTTCTACGACAGGTACTAACCCCTTTGCCAAAGCCTACCAACGCCTTCATAATGCTCAACACCTCATCTGCGTCATAACTTCTAACCACGTGCAACGTCTAGTAAGAATACACGTACGGCTCCGAACCATCCTTAGACTTGTGCTTCCCTTGAGCTACTCGCCGGTTGTGCACGAAGTACACCAACTCCTGCAACAGCGCAAACGCCATTCCGACCGAAACCATGATGATCATCGTAAGGAGTCCCCTGTCGTAGCTATTGACTAGTCAGATGATGGTAACTCTCTTTAGTGTTCGGACTCTTACAAAGGAAGATCGTTCGCCCTGAAATATTGAGAACCGACCATAAGACCACTGATGGCGGACATCACCCACATCCTAGTTTTCGTCAGCATCATCATCCATAAGTAGCATATTACAACTTACGCAATAGCAATGCTCCGCTCCCCTGCCTCGCGACAGTTCACCTGCACCCAGGTGTTATGCGCCGGATGGTAGGAAACCGAAAAGGCGTTGATGGCCGTCCACAGTCCCCATCTGGGCCATTTTCCAACATGCGGATGAACACTGCGGGCAACCACCAAGATGGTTAAATAGCATATGTGCGCCGTCAAGACGGTCCCTCCTCGTTTGTTCGTTCTGTCGCTCATTGTTGCGAACGCAAAGACGACCACCATGGCAAGAGTGGCACCGACCGCTGCCAGTGCGTTGGCGCTGATCCGATCGAAGCCGAGGGCCCTGCTGTGAGTTAGAAAAGTTCTTTCTTGCGAGATGTAGAACGCACATGATGATTGAAGGAGTATACGTCGTCAATGGTGACCAGGTCGAGAATGCGCAAAACGTGGAGACGTAATGCGGCCACCGCCTGTAGTGGCTGACAGTCTTCCAAACCAGAGCCCAAGGGATTTCAAGACCGTGGATACCATGTCTCTTTACCTGACCGTCAATCTCAAGGCGCTTCTGGAGGATCTGCTGCTGGTTTCTCGAGAATCGGACCGGGCCCGGGCTTCCTATCGGTTTCGGGGTGTCGGGCGAGCCGGGGAGGAGTAAGATGAACATCAAAGCCACCGCAAGAGTAAAAAGACCCTCCACTGAAGCACGATTCTGTTAGTATGCTACCAATCGTGCAGGATTCAAGGGCTCTTACACAAAAAAAGCCACTGCCAACCCTTCAAGCCAAGATGACCCTCCATTTTTAGGATGCCCGATGCCAGTAGAGGGCTCAAGCCGTTACCACCGAATTGGCCAAACATGAAGATGGCAACGCGCTTGGCCAGCTCTCGCTTCGTATACCATGTTGAAAGCGTGAAAATCGATGCCGGAATGTAGCCCGCCTCCGTGAAGCCGAGCATCAGGCGGATGGCGAGGAAGCCGGCGCGATTCTTGACGAGGACTTGGAGAGTTCCGACAAGGCCAAAGAGCAACACCTGAAGGGAAATCCATTTTCGTGGACCGAACTGAGGGTGGAGGCGTGGTTAGTCGCCAAGCATTAGCAATGCAGAGGCAGTCCGACTCACCCGTTGCAGCAGCAAATTGCATGGTATTTCTAGAACGACAGTGCCCATGAACATGAGCTGGTTCCCCAAGTTGATGGTGTCCTGGCTCACGTCGATATCCTTGGCGAATCCCGCAGTGAGAGCGCTTGCGAGGTTCATACGGTCGAGTTGGAACATGAGGAGTCCGAGGACCAGAAGGGGGAGGACCGTCATATCGATCCTAGAAGCCAAAGTCAACTAAGCATTTCTTGAAAGGATCCTCATTCTTACTTCCTCTTCGCTCTCTGCTCCTGGCCGGCATCCCAATCCACCTTGTCATCGGCTGCCACCACCGACTGATCGGTTGGTGTGTCACACACCATCGCCTTAGCCGTCTTCGAGTCCATTTTCCCTAGCTTGTCGACGTTCGTCGTCATCGTAGAAACAGCAGAGGGAACGCATTTTGATCATGTCCTACAAGCCGGCCATCCAGGTCCTCCTCCAGACTCTCTCGATCCCAGTCATTGCCCATGTCATCCCTGCCACCTGCGTCAAGTCCCCCCATCTTTCAGCTTATCGCAAACTCGGATTCCAGGGTCCAAGACCTAAATGTTGGCGACTTTGCGAACCTTGATGGCCGTCCCGCTCCGATCTCACCTCACCCACCCGGGTCGGGTCATCCCCCCCCCGAAGATGGGACCCCGCCTCGGAGCGACCTCCGTCGAGCCCTCCGGTCCTTTGATGGGGTTTGGTTTGGAACAGCGTTTGCGTCTGCGCACCGCGGGATAACGCCATCGGACGCTAAGATGATCAATCGCACAGAGACGCACCCTCTGCCCGCACATGGCGCCATAGCTTCGGCCCCCTGTATCCCTGTAAGACTGCCCCCGTCAGGCGGTTTGCGACGGCGTGATTGGGCGATCGCAGCTGTCTTCAACAGTAGGACCCCTGCTCCCTGGTCCCTTGGGCCGAACCCACGCTGTCGGGGGACATTTTAAAAAGACTCGCACTGCATGCGCGCGGCGAGCTTTTGGCGCTCTTATCTGTTTGGCTATAGCGATTTGTTGAGATCTTGATCCCCCTCTCTGTCCTTCATCATCTCTCTCGTTCTGTCTAGTCGTGTGCGTATGCCATGGGCGCAATCAAGAGAGTCGCAGTCATCGGCGCGGGGCCGGCGGGGGCCATTGCCATTGATGCGCTAGCAAAGGAGAAGGCTTTCGACGTCATTCGTGTGTTTGAGCGCCGGGAGGCGAGCGGCGGGTGCTGGTGAGTACCTAGTTTCTCTCATTGGACCTCTGGGACTTTGTTTGTCGCGCTGCGGGCCAGCTGCCCTCATATCAAGTCGCTTCGAGAGCACCTTGATGGTTGGAGATCCTGGCAAGTAAAGACCGGGGTGCAAGATGCTCGAGACGAGAACCCGGATGGGTATGTTGCTTGGAATCTTTGGCATCCTTCATTCTAGCATAAACGTGGTTGAAGCATCTCTACGAAGATGAGATGAGACCAGCAGAATGGGACGAACCAGACTGGACGGGACGGGCCATGATGGCGGCACGCATGCACTGACACCCGCAGGATTGGCGACAAGGAAGCGCCACCTCACCTCACCGACTTCACCTCCCTCGCCGACCGCACCGCCGACAGACCCATCCCGGTCCCGGAGTCTTTTCCGGCGCAGACCCCGACACAGAAGACCCCGCGCTTCACCGAGTCCGGCATCTACCCGTACCTCGAGACCAATGTCGACGCAATCCCCATGTCCTTCTCGGACGCTCCCATCTCAGAGGAGCGGACACCCAACTCAATCGCCCTGCACGGCCCTTCAACGCCATTTCGTCACTGGACCGTCATGAGAGATTACGTCCGGCGCATTGTCGACGAGTATGAGGGCTTTGTGTCTTATAACACCACCGTTGAGCTGGCCGAGAAGGTGGGGGATGAGTGGAAAGTTGTCCTGAGAAAGGAGGGCAAAGACTCGGATGAGTGGTGGGTTGAACGGTTCGACGCGGTTGTCGTCGCGACGGGACACTACTGGGTTCCCTACGTCCCCAAGATTGAGGGCCTCGAGGAGTTTGAGAGAGCTCGCCCGGGCAGTGTCATCCACAGCAAACACTACCGCGGAAGGGAAGATTTCTGTGGAAAGGTTCGTCACTCTGTCATCGATGTGCAAACCGTAGCTGACAAGCTCAGCGCGTCGTGGTTGTCGGCGCCTCCGTCTCAGGAGCCGACATTTCAGTTGACCTCATCAACACAGCAAAACTCCCCATCTACTCCGTCGTGAATGGGCGCAAGGCCAACCTCTATTTTGGCGACGGCGCCTTTCACCACCCCAAAATTTCCCGACAGGCCACAATTTCGCGCATCGAGGGCCGGACAGTGCACTTCATAGACGGCACGTCGGTCTCGGACGTCGACAGCATCATCTTCGCGACGGGCTTTACCTGGACGCTGCCCTTCCTGCCATCCGTCGAGGTCCGTAACAACCGCGTAACGGGGCTTTACCAGCACGTCATCTACCACCGCGACCCGACGCTCCTATTCATCGGCGCCGTGGCAGCGGGCCTGACGTTCAAAATCTTTGAGTGGCAAGCCGTCCTGGCGGCGCGCGTGCTTTCCGGAAGGGCGAGACTGCCGCCGGCAGAAGAGCAGGCCAAGTGGGAGGCCGATCGCGTTGCGGAAATGGGTGACAAGTTTCCACTGGTGCACCCACACTTTGAGGAGTACTTTGAGACTGTGCGGGCGCTGGCGGGCGAGCCCGAGAACGGCGTCGGGAGACGGTTGCCGCCGTTTGATCCCTCATGGTTCCAGGTGTTTCTCGACGGGTTGGAATTGAGGAGGAAAATGTGGGTGAGACTGAATGCGAAGGCTCAGGAAGAACTTTTGCAAGCAGGTGGGCTTGGCGCGACAAGCGAAGCGCTCGTGGCAGAGAAGACCCTCCTTGTAACCGCGATAGAAACCCCTCAAGAAGTGGCGTAGACGAATTCCAGGTTCTCCGACTGTGAATAGTTCCAGCGTCAGCCCAAGGTTGAGACGCATCAACAACAATCATAACTTACAAAGGAGTTGTTGTGAGAGCGACGACACCTGATACCGCCAACGCGGACCGAACGCATCAGTGAGGCGTGCGCATACCCGATTAGGTCAAGAGGTTCCAAATGGCTGAAGATCAGCTAATCCTGCCATGTCTTACCCGGACAGCCGGCTCTTGCTGGATCAATCAGAACATTGGAGGCTCGTTTGCGCTGGGCAGTGCTTACATGTGGGTGCCGTCTTACATCAGACGCCTCAGCATCCGCTTAAACACCCAGGTCGGGACTTCTCCGAGAACAGTAATTGGCGCTTAGGGAGACGTGCCAGCACATCTCTCGCGGTCAGCGCGTTTTGGCTTGTTTTTGTTTCGAGACCTCCCGTGGCTTACGGTGCGTCAGTTATGGTGGCCATCAAAAAGGCACATTTCCCGCGCTTCTATCGCGGCAGGACAGGGATGGAGCGAGCGAGTCTCGAGAGTGCACCGCCAAAATCCAGATTATGAGCACGACACCACCCTCGAAGCCGTCGAGGCTCCCGGCGGCCTCACGGCTGGGTCGTCGCATCAAGGAGTTCGACATCATGGGTATTCTTCAACCACCCCGCCTGATGCCCGAGTTCCTCGCCAGCGACGTGGCTGGTTTCTTCCTCCACGTTGTTCTGGCGACAGACTGGTCGTCTTTCTGGAAAACCAGGCTGTTCCAGGCTTTTCCCTTCTCGCAGACGATCGCCGAGACCTTCACCGATTTCTGGAGATCCTTCTGGGACGAGAGGTGGCATACAGAGAACCTGCTGGAAGAGAGGGCGAGGAAGTGGAGCCCTCACCTTTACAAAGCCATGCCGCCGCGCCTTCGAACTTATCGTGAGATCCTCAACCGACAGCAAGCCCTGAAGAACTGTTGCGGTGCGCAGTTTCACGGGCTCGACACGCCTGAGGTGGCCAGGAACATGCTGCTGCAAATCGCCATGGCCACGTGCTGGATGTGGGCACTGTTTAAAGACCACATGGCAGTAGTGTGGCTGCTGGCCGAAATTGAGAACAGGGCGCAAGGATATCGACAAAAGATTGAGTTCTCTGTGCCTCCGGTCGTTCGAAAGGGGGAGGGAATCATGCCAGTTGTCAAAGATGAGCGACGACAGCATTGTCTAACCCGCATACAGGAACGGATTGATCGCGGGCAAGGCCTGATTACCAGATTCATGGAGCTGGAACTCTGCCCAGTTGAACGGGATGAAGACATCTGGAATGAGGACGAGTGGCTGGTTGAGAAGGATGGCGAGATACCCGCAGATATGCCCGATGAAGACCGCTTCCTCGTGAATCGCGTCGTTTTCTCAGCCGGTCTGTCATGGTTCATGGTATCGATCAGCTGTGACTTTGCGACGTTCTACCTTTCTGTCCTCCTGTTTCGCCTGAGAAGTCGTGTACTTGGATGAAGAGGAACGAGGGCTGTACATGTTTGTTATACCCAGGGAAGGCAAATTGCGTATGAGCCATGATAAACTTGTATATTGGGCATTACCTCATTAATACCAATGACTGCGGTATCGCTTGCCATAACGCCGTGCCATGCATGTGTGACCAAATCAGCGCCGTCTTCTGAACCTACTGTTGTACCCCGGTCCTCCTTTTGCGCCGTGGTTTTTCAACTTCAATCTTCGGAAGTTGGTGTGGGCCATTTCGTTCACCTTCCTGACAGCCTTCTTGACCGTTCCCACCTTTTCCGTTTTCTTCGCGTTGCTAGCTTTGGGAGCTGCCGCTTCAAAGTCTGAGCCCGATCCCGCGTCGCCAAGCTCATCGAAATCGTCATCAGCTCCATTGGCCTGCGTTTCCGGGACGATCTCGTCGTCTTCATCGCGGCCCTCAACAGGAGCCGACGGTCTCTTGACTTGAGTCGGCTTCATATTGACGCGTCTGGTCGTTCGTTTCTGTCCCTTCTTCTTGAATATCTTCAAAGGCTTCCCGTCCCGGCCCACCTGCTCCTCATCGACACTATCGTACATCCCCTCATCGTCAAAGCCGCCCAGTGGCAGATGCACCTGACTGTCCGAAGCAAGCAAGTCCTCTTTCGGTTTCGGAGGAGCCTTGGGCTGCGGCTCTGCACCTTCAGCTTCTCGCAGAGCCTCCAAATCATCGTCAAGCTGCTCCTCCTCGACCTTCCTAAGACTGGCCACAATGGCGCTGAGGCCGCGCACCATAGGTTTCCGGGGTAAACGCAGCGGTGGGGCGGCGAAGTCGGTGCTTTCGGCGGGAGGTGGCTGGGTGTGTCTCTTGAGAAAAGACGGCGTGCTAAACTGAAGCTTCGAAACTGTTGTCGGAGTCTTTGCATCGACCACCTGGGCCCCTTCCTTATTTTTAAGCGGCGTCATGAAACTATCCAACATCTGCCTCTTGCTTGTTGACATTGGGGTTCGCCCGAGTTTCTCTTCGTCCATGGGCGTGGCACGCTTTCTCGGCGTCGTCATCGGTCTCGAGTCGGCAGTTGTGTTGAGAGACCCGTTCTTCCTCGACGGTGTGCCAAGTTCTCGTTCAACCATGAGGTCAAACAGTCCAAGAACCCGACCATCGCGCTGCGGCGTTGGGCCGATTGACCTCGGAGCAACAGGGCTGAACAAGGTTTTGGAAATCGAGGGAGTGCTGTTGAGGTTCGCGCCATCGGGTATCGATCTTCTTTTCGAGGGGGTTTCGGCATGTTTGTGTCGTTTGGACGGAGTCGTTACAGGAGCAGTGTTCTCCTTTCTCTTTGCTTTCGGATCTTCTTTTGTGGGCGGTGCAACCTTTCCCGAGAGGATGTCGCGTACTTTGTTGTATTGCTTGTATTTTTGTGCTGCTCAATCGTCAGTATGTGAGCCTTCCTCCGTTCTCGTGAACCATACCAATGTCAGCATTGCGCTTGATGTCGTCTCTTCCCGGCTTCTTGCCATCATGGGACTTAGCCCACGAGGTTTCCCAGCTCTTGAGTTCAGCGCGTAGTTTTTGGGATTGCGACTCGTAATCTGCCTTTGTCTGGTCGTCCATGTCGAAGCAATGCTAGCAGCCGGTCGTGTACGTCATTGAAGAGGCGTACTTCAAAGTGCAGCAGTCTGTTTTGACGAAGTGTGCAGGTACTGTACTGATGTACCAGTGGATTCGCAGTGGAGGGAGAACGCGGTCGAGACGCGACCGAGAAACCACTAAACGCGTCCTGGTACCTATGGCAGATGCGAGCCCGTGCCCCACTTCAAATTCTTATCTTATCGGGCCACTGGCCTCAGCTTACTAACAGCTCCATACGCCTAGCCGCCGTCCATCAACCATCACCTCGAACACCACATTGCCATCCTTTCTACCGCGTTGGATTGTGCTTTGTGCTACTGGCATGTCCCCCGAAGCAGCGAAGAGCGACAACTCGAGCTCTCGAGATCTTCAGTCCGCTGTTCTGCAAACGACGCTGCAGGAGATCTCATCACGGCCAACGGAACCCGAGCGGGGCGCATCAGCCGACGATTGTTGCGTCATCTGCCTCGACCAAATCACCGAAGGCTGCGAAGCGCAACCCTGCCACCACCGAAACTTCGACTACCTCTGTCTGGTAACATGGCTGGAACAACAAGCAGCATGTCCTCTGTGCAAGACCGAGATCAAAGAAGTCCGTTATGACTTTAGCGACGACCAGAAGCAGTGGAAAACGTTCAAGCCTGCACCGGCGCCGGCGGCTGCCAAAACGGCAGGAAACGCCGCTGTGGCCCAACAAGAGAGGCGATACTACTCCCAAGTACGACCCAGGCGACCGCGACCGCAGAATGCCCACTCCTCGTATCGAACATTTGTTCCTTCTCAGGATGAGACGATTGCGCGCCGACGAGACGTGTATCGCCGCCAACTGTATTCGCTCCATGTCGGCTCGAACCGAATATCTAGGTACCGAGACCTGACTCCACAGATGTTCGCATCTGACTCTGAGTTGGTGTCCCGTGCTCGGACGTTCCTCCGGCGCGAACTCCAGGTGTTCGAGTTCCTGTCCCCAGATAACGATGCGCGCACGCCAGAAGCAGACCCTGTTCGGCGTCGCAGAGCCAACAATGCCGAATTTCTTTTGGAATACATTGTCGCGATTTTGAAGACCGTGGACATGCAGGGCAGCATGGGCCAGGCGGAGGAGTTGATCCAGGAATTTCTGGGACGTGAGAACACTCGGCTGCTACTCCACGAACTCAGAGCTTGGCTTCGGAGTCCATATACGTCGTTGAAGAATTGGGACCGCGCTGTACAATATCCAGACGTCGTTCCAAAGCGTCGGCGGTCTCAAAGCCCCAGCTCAGAACGTGGCGGCTCAAGCGTGGACGGCATGTATCCTTCACGCTGGAGAAGAGACGACCGACGGAGACATCCGCGGGGGAGTTACGAAGCTCGACGCTCCCGTAATCACGAGAGGTTGAGAGAGGCAACTGAACGCTACTTTGTTGACTAAGAGGTGAAGGTTTAGATGATACCCGAGTTCTTACGCATTGCGGGGGGGTTGGTTGCGTCCAGTTCTTTACTTTCAGACAGCAGTCAAGGTGCCTTGCAAATACACGTGATAAACGAAAGGTTGTGGGCAGTTGCTCACGTATGTATTGACCAATTACTCGTATATCGTTGTCGTTGCTCGTCGTAAATCTAGCGAGACTGTCACAGTTCATGTGGAACGATGTCACACTCTAGGTATAGCACAGTTGCCGTCGGCACCACAGCTCGAGCAGCTTCGAGTCAGGGTCTGCGGCAACAAAGTAAAACGGCCCCCCCTGGCAAATCCACTGAATCAAGTGCCGAACTATATCGGAATCTAATTCCAACGCCGCCACGGCGGCACCTGGGGCTGAATAATGGCGGGGCAGTCATTGATGAGGAACCGTCCCGCCGGCCAAGAAAAGATTCCGTCCGGAGCGCGCCCCGAAGTGATTGGTAATCAGGTCGGCATCGGCACCTGGCGGAGTCCCGCCCGTATCTGAGCTTAGGCCCGAGGCCGGGTCATCATAAATACCATTTTACGGCTGTCATCCCTGACTGAATGTTGGTGTGGCCAAGATCTCGACTTATAAAAATATTTGCATCAATTTTTGGCGTTATCGAATGAACGCGGCACGGCAAGTGAGCAAAATGGCCAACTTCAACATCAAAGTCATTTCAGACCCAGTCTGCCCCTTTGTAAGCCCCGCCAACCCTCACTTACACACTCACTGGCTGACAAGAGATAGTGCTACCTCGGCAAGGCCCGTCTCAACAGGGCAATTGACCTGTACCAAAAGACCTACCCTGCAGGCAAGGAAGACAAGTTCAACGTCTCGTGGCAGGCATACTACCTGGACCCGACGGCGCCCAAGAAGGGCGTCCCCGTCAACGAGCGCATGGCGGCGCGCTTCGGCGCCGACAGGCTTGAGATGATGCACGCGCGCATGAAGAAGCTCGGCGCCGCGGAGGGCTTCAATTTTACGTTTGACGGCAAGGTCGGACACACGCGCGACGCCCACCGCGCGATACAGCTGGCCAAGACCAAGGGCCCCGAGGTTGAGAACGCCGTGGTGACTTCGATCATGAAGAGCTACTTTGAGGAGGGCGGCGACATCACCAGCTGGGACACGATTGTGGACTCTGCCGTCCGTGGTGGACTAGCAAAGGAAGAGGTCAAGAAGTGGCTCGAGGAGGGCAAGGGAGGCGAGGAGGTGGACAGGCAAGTCGAGGATGCGTACCGGATGGGCGTGAGAGGCGTGCCGCACTTTGTCATCAACGACAAGTACGAGATTGGCGGCGCGCAGGATGTCGGCGAGTTTTTGGAGACGCTCGTCGCAGCGAGAGAGGGCGGCAAGGGCGCCAACGGGCAAGACGGCCTGTCGTGTTAGGACACTCGGCAATTCTGTACAAAACATGTAAAAATAATTTCTGAACTCGCATTGGGTATCATGGTCGTAGCCTCGTAAAGTGCCAATCCGTTCACATGTTCAACAGCCCGCCCAAGTCCTTGTCCATCGCGCGCAGCCGCTGCTGCAGCTCGCGCTTCTTCCTGTCGAGGTCGCGCACTAGCTCTTCCTCGGCCCGGTATTCCTCTTCGGTCATCATGTCCTCGTCTTCTTCTTCGTCGTCGTCTTCTGGCTCCTCCTCGTCGCCCATCCAGTGGTCCTTGTTCATCCTCTCCAGCGCGGCCTGGTGCTCGGCGACCTTGGCTTCGTAGTATGCCAGCGTGTTCGTCTGGTGTGCGTAACGGTTCCTCAGCTGTGGGATTCTCTCCAGAGCTCCGGGCAGTGCGTAAACACCACAGAGCTTCGTCGCTCCCTTCAGCAAGACCTCGACGTCGACGTCACCGCCCTTGCTAGCTGCCTGACGCTCGCCGCGGCGTAGCTGGTCGTGCAGATCGCCTCCCAAAACGGCAGATACGGCGGTGTGTCTACGAGGCCCGCCGCCGCCACCTCCACGGGTTGCCGGGGGGCCAGTCGTGACCTCACCCGAAGCGACGTTGAAGACGGTCTGGCGGCGGTTGTTGGGCTTCGGGTCTGGGTTCTGGGAGGTGGCGGGAGCTGGGGGAGGTGGGACGGAGAAGAGGGCACGTTCGTGGGCTTCGGTGTCGCGGATCAGAGAGGTGATGTCGCTGTTGTAAAGCATAGCGTTTGTAAAGATTTTGGGAGGTGGGAATCTGAGGCGCGTCAGTGGAATTCGCGGAAGGAGGGGTAGGATGCGTACGGGAGAGAGTCGATGCCTTCGCACGACAGAGCTATTTGCTCCAGGTGAATTGATAGCATAGACATGACGGGAAGTAGTAGGCTTCGGCCGCGGTTGTGTGTTGTTTGGAATAGCCAATTCGAAGTTGTCAGCTTTGGACTCTGTCTTCACTGGTGAGAGTCGAGACCAATGTTTGGTCAACAAATGCACCCCACCAAACAACCAGTTGCTGGCGCACAGACCATGTCGAGTTCATCCCGTCGTCGGGTTTTTTTTTTTTTGCAGCAGATTTTCTACAGCGGTCAAAATAGGTACCCCTGAAGAGGCCCGGGCGTCGGATTCCATGCTTCGGGGGTACCAGAACAGCCCCAAAATCGATTTCCCAAGTTCCGTCCAGCTTCTACTACCTATCTCACGATGCTCGACGGCCCCACCCGCGCACTCAGCCCAAGATGCTCGCGCTGACTTGGGCACAACACATGCGCAGAATTCCATGATGAGACAACTGATGCTGCCGAGACTCCAGGCAGACATTCAGCAACGAGTAATGAGGAATCAGGCTGCAACATATCTGCGTGCAGTCAACGTCGTCTGCGCCTAGGCAGCTCAACCTCATCTCGCCGTTGACTTGTTTTGCCTTAAGCCGGCGAGCAACCAAGACACGGCAAGGCTGCGTTTCAGCTACCACAAAGGCTACATCCATTCTTCGGTGACACCTGTCTTCAAGGTTCTGTGGTAAGCACGGCAAGGCACCGCAATACCTCAGTCTATATTTTGGGAGGATGACTCTGCCGGGTTAGGCGTGCCGATAGGCTGGGCGCGCAACGTCAGTTATGACGACAGATGGAGCGTCTCATTGGGTTAATTGGGCGCCTGGCTCACCAAAAGCAGCTGCGTCTTCTGTACGAACAAGCCCCAACCGAGAAGGCCTCAATACCGCCTCAAGACACCAACATATGCACCTCAGACACGGGGCATACGGCCTTTCCGTTCGCAACCACAGCCCGTCACTCGCAATTGGCCTCTTGTCGGTGCACAAGACAATCTCGGAGCCTCGCAGCCATGCCTATCCTCGTCCCCTGCACTGCCCAGATCTGACTGCATGCCTCGTACTTGCACCCAACAAGGCACCTTTGGCGATCAAGAGCTAGGTACCTACCTACCTTACCTTACCTATCCGCACCAGATGCGTTAGCGACGGGGCAGGCAGCGGCAGCGGGTGGCGCCCCCAGACCCCCCTCCGGGTCCTACCACATCATCGCTAGCTGCTGACCATGGCCTCTCATTGGTGCGCGCCCCGGTCGAGTGACCAGCCAAAGGGCGGCGCCGTCGATAATCCCCAGCAAAGGCGGCCAGCTCAGCCCTGCACCTGCATCGTCTCTTTTTTGGAAGCTGGCCTTCTTTCCCCAGTCTGCCGCCAGGTGCTAGGATCTCGGACTTGGTGGTTGGTGTTTACTGGTGTCTCACCCGGCGTGCCCTCCATCCCCTTCTGCCCATGGGGAATATAATGCCGCGTGAGCACCGGTCCTTCGTCTTCTGCGAATGACACAAACCCCATACGGTGGACCGGTCACTTGATCACATACCCTTTCTGCCACTCTCTGTTAAACCCTTGCTCTGCTATAAATTCCTCCTGCGCGGGTCTCGTCGTCATGGGTGGGGGAATCTTTTGCATCCCATGGTTGGGAGAGAAGTTGTCTGCTAGGCACAAGGCACGACACCAGAAACGTGACGAGTTGCTCAAAGAGAGGATGGGTTCGACAAAGTTCTTGGGCTCCCAGGTCGGCGGGAGCTCCGTAATCAACTACTCTTACACGGACTTTCCCTGGAAGCTGCTGGCCTACGACATCTACTACTTCTTTCGATACATTTGGGCCCTTCCATGGATCGTCTGGCCAATCACCCCGTCCGACTCTGGCGCCCTTGACGAGCTGGCCTTTACGAGGCAGAACCTCTTCTGCGTCGGCATGCATCTCCTGCTATGTGTGCTACAGATCGGCTTCATTTTGGCACTCCCCATGACCATCTTTTTCCCCTTGTGGATCGACATCCTCGCGTTGGGTGCCTTCTTCACCGTCAACTATCTCCTCTGTCTTTGCCTAAACGGCCCAACTCTCACATACACGTCGGATCCCAAGTACGCTCCAGAGCTGCCTGAGCATGCTCACGAGCAATGGATCTTTTTGAACGGCGTCGCCGTTGGGTAAGTGATCCACCAACCAATCTGCAAACGGCGGCTAACCGGATGCAGCGACCACTGGATGAAGAACAACCTCAACCGTCTGGCCCTCACCTTTAAGCGCCCGATTCTCGGCATCCACAACCAAACCTCCGGCATCCTGTTCGACGTCGTCGAGTGCCTGATCCAGCGGAATCTCGGCTACGCCACCTACGACGTACGGATGTGCTATCGTATTGTCAAAGAGACGCTGTACAATCCAAAGTACTCCAAGGTGGTTTTTATTCTGCACTCCCAGGGCGGCATCGAAGGCGGTCTCGTCCTCGACTGGCTTCTCCAGGAGCTGCCCCAGGATCTTCTTGCCAAGCTTGAGGTCTACACCTTTGGTAACGCTGCGAACCACTTTAACAACCCCCATCGCCACGTCGCGTCCCAGAACCTGGCGCAACGTAACCCGGCCGCCATGACCTTGACCACGACCACGATGGCTCAGATCGAACCGAACGGAAGCCCCATATCTCCGGTGGCCACTGGTCTTCGACGACGAGCTTCGGGCACCTCTAACGGCACCGAAAACGGACACGCTCGTACACCGACCTTGTCCAAGGAATCCTCGTCCCTGTCGTCTTCTCGATCATCGACCGCCGCCCTCGACCGTGCCATCGGCCACGTCGAACACTACGCCCACTCGACCGACTTCGTAGCGATCTGGGGCGTTTTGCACTTTTGCACCTCTCTGACCGCAGACCACAGCATGCCGCGTTTCATCGGGCGTTTGTTTGTGAGGGCTTCGGAGCGTGGAGGTCACCAGTTTTGCCAGCACTACCTGGACGGCATGTTTCCTCTGGAGAAGGACGCAGAGACGGGGCAATACATTGGCGCCGCGGACACAAACGAGTTTATGGAGAGTGAGATCCAGGTCGGAAGGCAGGGAGATGCGGGGCAGAACGCCCGTGAGGCCTTTGAGGTGTCTTACCTGGGCCGAGACTTTGCTAACGAGGTCGAGTTCCACGGAGAGCGCCTCAAAGGCCGCAACAGGAAGAGGACAGTCAGGGTCAAGGATCTCTCGAGACTGTGGCTCTACCGTAACGGTGCCAGCCCCCCTGAGCTGCCGCCATTCGTGACGTCGGAGAATGGCATCGTTAGAAACAGCACGCTGTAGGACGGTTCCATTGACAGTTGGCAGCATACATTGGAGTTTGGTCTTGATGACGCGGTTCGTATAGAATGATACCCTTCCACTTGGTTTAGTTTGGCAGCGCTTCATTACTACAGAAATGGGTATTAACAGTACAAAAATCAATCTTCAATACTCAAACAACCAACGGCCCCTTGTGATCCCCAAAGAGAACGTCATGCCACTTGGTGTCTCCCTTCTGGCATAAGCCGTCCCAGCTGATTGACGCATATGTCTGGTTCGATCCGTCAAAAACCATGGCTGTCTTTTCGTCATCGTCTGAAGCCCAGTACACCATCTCATTTCCGCCGTCTTCTCGCAACGGCAGCCTTGTCAAAGGCGTAAGCTTGCTGTTGGAATGCAGCGCTTTGGTGACGAGCTGTCGAAGATGAGGATAATACCAAGTCATGTTCCACCAGTGTTCCAGCCGCCATGGTTTGAGACCAAAGACGTAGGCGTTGTGATGGATACCAACGGGCGTGGTGCCGAAGAAGAAGTCGGTGTACAGAGGCACCTTTCCCCAACTCGAGCCGAGTCCAGGCAGGGGTCCTTCGGCGCCTTTCAGTTCTGGCGGGATGCCCTTGACCCTGACGCCGCCGGTCACGCCAGACTTTTCCGACTCCTTTTTCACCATCTCGGTGTCGTCGAGCCTGACGAAGAAGCCATCGTCTTCCGAGGAGCATGTTGGTGGGATTGTGGCAAACTCATAGTCTAGCCCAATACCAAACTCAAACTTCTTCCCCTCCAGTGCATTGTTTGCGATGTCCCGGACATGGCGAGGCAGATCTCTCGGCTGGTCGTGGGACGCGGTTCCGTTCCACGTCGAAGCCAGACCTCTTATCCAGTACCGCCACATCTCCTGGTCTCCAATGACTTCAGCGAAGAGGGCCTGGTCACTCCATAGCTGCCGACCGCCCATGGCAGCCTTGTCAACCTTTTCCTTGGCGTTTTGCAGCGCTCCTCTCAAGGCGCCGATGGTGCCCATGATCATCCCGCTGTTGACGCATCGAGGCCGGATCTTTTTGTACTTCCTAGCGGAGTCGAATACGTACGGGAGGATCTCGTCGGTGCCCTCGCCGTAGAAATCCGAGGGCAGGGGGGAATCCGGCCAGTACTCATACCGGGGGTTAGACCCTGATTCCCAGTCCGGTTGGCAGTCTTTCGCGGTGGTGACAACAATGTTCTGCTTAGGAGACTGGATCGGGAAATCCTCTTTGAAGCCATGCTCTTCCCACTGTTTCTTCACGCGGGCATCTGCGTCGCTGTTGAGGCGGTGGAAACGTTCGATGAGAACTGACGGAGGAAGCTGGAACCAAATGTCGTAGGCATCGACGAGAAGGACCAGGTCGTTCTCGTTCAGGCTATCGTCTTCCTCGTAGAGGGCATCAATGACAGCGAGCAGAGACTCCAACTTGGCAATGTGCGAGCCTGCAAAGTGCCAGTCGGGCCTGTTGAACTCCCCGTTCCAGTTGAGGAGGGTGGGCATGGGGTAGCCGAGCGCCACGGCAGACATGGTGGTTTTGCAAAGGTTGATATTCGGCCCATCGGCGGGCATGAACAGCCTCAACCGTCGAGAGCCGCCGGTGTCTACATGGACGGGTGCTTTGAGACTCTCCAGCTGAGCCGTGGAGATGACTCTTTTCGAGTCGAACACACTGACGAGGTATACGGCCTCTGATGGGAACTGTGCAGCGTTAGCAAGGGTATCTCTTACAAAGAGGACAAACACACCAGACTCGTCAGAAGAGCTGCTGTGACACACATTAGGATGCCGATTGGTAGGACAAACTTCAACAAAGAAGCACGCGCTCGAGCGAACCGCGGCGCCTTGCGACGGCCACGCTGAGTCTCTGCGTCCAGAGAGATGGAGGGCCACGCAGTCTTGGACTCTGAGCCTGCGATCCAGCCAAAAACCCGAGAGTCTCGCATCATTGCGCCGGTATTGACAAACATCGCGGTGAACCATCGGCCACAGACACAAAACCCCCAATTTCAGCCATCCTGATAAAGGTATTCCGCGGGCCGCACGCGACAGCTCAATTACGACGACTTCATCAACTGCCGTCAGCAATCGCTGGTTCTCGTCGTCGTATGTAATTGCGACCGGCCCATTCCCGTCCCTATCAATCGGCAGACCCTCCCCACGTGGTGGGTTCGATTCGCCCGCACAGGGCCCCGGCGAACCGCTCATCCATGCTTGGCGGTTGCTTCAGGCTGCACGTGGTGGACGGGTATCGTTTCAATTGACCGTCTGCCTTGTTGCAGGGGACGCGATCCCTTGGGAGTTGTTTTTCTTTTTGAACGAGGCCGTGTCTCGCTCTCGGCTGCGGGCGTGCCGTGCGAGTGCGTGCTCTTGAACCTTGAGTCTAACACCATCCGAAACCGAAGCCATCTGCCTCGATTGGCGATGGCGCCGAAAAGCAAGACATCGTTTGACGAGGTTCGGACCTTTTTGGGGTTTGCATGCCTAGGTAAGTTTTATCTTAATGGCACTTCATTTCGATCTTGTCGCTAATTGATGCCTTGTTCATAGGGCTGGCCAACACCATCCTCCCGGCCATCATATACGCCGCCAACTACCTCATCATCCCGTACCCCCGAGCCGTCGTCACGCTCATCGAGCTTCTGCCCTGTGTCGTGGTGAAGTTTTCGCTCCCCTTCGTCATCCACCGCTTCCCATGCCGAATACGGCCTCTCGTCGTCGCCGCATGCTGGCTCGTTGCCAAAAAGGTCGCCGATGACACGCCGCCGAATGTGCTACCGCCGGTGCGGATTGCCATGTCGGTGCTAGCGTCCGTGTCGGCGTCCGTGATGGAGGTGTCCTGTCTCGGGATGGTCGGGCATTCCGGCGTGCACGCGCTTGCGGGGTGGGGCTTCGGGACCGGCGCCGGGATGGTCAGCAACGCCGTGTGGCCGTTTGTTCTGGCGCACAAGGCGGGCAAGGTCCTGAGAAGCGCGACGGGAGGGGTTTTCTATCTTGTTGCGTTGTTGGTGCTTGCGCACTTTGCAATCTTGCCGCAGAACCTGACAAAATGGGCCGGCAGACAGGATAGGGATCGCGAAGAGAGGCATTCGTGTTTGGAAGCTGGTCAGCATAGGCGAAGGTCCGGCTCGGTTTCGATGAGGGCTAAAGTGCACATTCTTCTTGGCCTGGCGAGATCGGATATGCTGCCACTCTTCGCAGCATCTTTGTTACTTTTCCTGCAGCAGGGGGTCACGAGGACATTAGACGGATCTGTCTTTGGGACCTTTTCCCGCTTTGCGGCGACTTACGGCGTGTCCCTCCACCTCGGAACGTTGTTGGCTCGTTCTTCAGTCACCTTTTACCCTCTTCGAAATCTCAGGGCACCTCTGGCTGTTTTGACTGCGGTCTCCATACTCGCCTTCTTCAACGCCGTCTTTCTTGTGTCGACGAATCTCTCGTTTGCACTTGCCTTTGCGACGGGCCTGTCGAGCGGGTTGGTGTACATTACTGTTTTGGTGAGAATTATGGAAGAGACTCGAGACGCCAACGACAGAGAGTTCAGTATGGGCATCGTCACTGCTGGCGATGCGGGAGGTATGGTCGCCGGGAGTCTCTTCGGGGCTTTCCTGGAGCTCGAAATGTGCAGTTATCTCTTGAGCGGGAGGCGGTGGTGTCACAGGGCAAAGTAATTGTTTGATATATGTACACGCCGAAATAGTAATCCCAAGCCGATGAGTTCGGTTCATCACTTTCAACACAGCTTAAAGCTGATCCAACATCTTCTCGGCAGCATAGTCGACGTTTGTTCCAAAGTTCTTGGCTTGAGTCTAGGCATTGGTCAGTACGATTGCTCCCGAAAACGCATGCAGGCAACTTACCTGGACATAAACAGCCCCGTCCTCGACGACAACCTCGCCGTACGTCGCATACGACATCTTGTCCACAATGCGAAAGTGAATCTCGCCCTTGTCGACGGCCTCGTTGAAACCCTCCCTCAAAAGGTCGTCCTCGTCGAACTTTTGGTATCCCATCTGGTACACCAGGCCCTCAAAGTACATCCGTGTGAAATTGCCCAGGTTGCTTTCCCAGTCATCCCTGACCTCGCTCTTCTTCTTCTTGCTCTCCTCCATGATCTTGGCAAAGTTGGTCTCGAAGTTGGGCACGAGGACGATGTCGGGCTTTTCGAGCATGTCGCCCAGCTTCTTGCGGGTCTCCTCAATCTTCTCGTCGTACTCCTGCCTGATGGAGGTGCGCGCGGCGTAGCTCATGGCTGCGTCGGCCCCGGGAGCGGGCGGGGCCTCGTTGAGAGCCTTCAGCAGACCCTGTGAGTCAATGGCGTAGTCGACGTTAGTGCCGAGGTTGCCCTCGGAGAAGACGAGAGCCAGCTTGCCGTCTTTGACCGTCACGCCGCAGTACGAGACCCGATTGTCCTTGGGACGGTCATCGAGGTCGATGATGAGGGATCGGGTATGGCAGATTGAGTTGATCTCGTTCTTACCTTCCTCGCCGTAGTTCTCTGTATAAGACTTGAGGTTGTAGATGGCGGATGTAATGTACCTACTGAGTGTTAGTAGGTGATGCATGATTCGACCGTTGGCAACTCACTGAGCTATACAGCTGCCGAGAGACTGCTTGGCGTAGCCATCACCGGCGTACGGGTAGAGCTCGTTCGGGTTGATGTCGTTCAACGTCCACTCGGCGCCAAGGACGTCCGAAAGCTGCTTCTGGAGGTCTTCTTTCTTGCTCTCCCAGTCATCGCGGACTTGGCTGTTAGCGGTGCGATTTGAAGCTGGGAACCATCACATACTGTTCTTGCGGAGCGCCAAAGGCAGTTTCTCGGCAGCGGGAAGACGAGACATTTTCAGATTTGTTCTTTTGATGAGCCGGATCAGATGAGTGAGTTGCTGCTGTATGTACCAGAACGGCGGTGATGAAGCAGCCTTTTATCTTGACATTCACTCTCTCGTTGTCAACAATTGAGGTCTAGCTCAAGTCATTCCATCTCCTCTCTCAATCAGCCTCTTCTTTCAGCTCTCTGACGATCATTTCTCCAACATTGATCTTGGCCCGTCAACGGCCGCCGCGAGGTCCATCGCAAGCTCCGCGATACAGTTCTCACCATAGCCTGGGCGGCCGAGTTAAGCTACTTTGAACCTAGATCTTGCCCTACCCCTTTGACAGGTACGCGAGCAGTCAGCCTAGCGACCCGCCTCGTGGTTTAGTCGCTGCGAAATTCCCGCGGTCTTTTCCACATGTGGACATGATGAAGGTGAAGTTTGCTGGTGGCGCAGAGGCTAAAGGCAGCTTTCAGGGGTTCAAGTCCAGGGCGCACCCAGCTGTGGGGCCGGTTGGGTGCGCTAATTGTGCTGAAGTCTTCAGGCAGCAAAGTTGGCGATTTCATCAAAACACGACACGAAAATGACCACATCCAAGTGACGAAGATATTTGCTTCGCATCGTGACCTGGTCACGGGACAGATCGATTTTCTCGGTGGTTCGAAGTGTGAGTCAGTGACATCATTCCGGCTCTGCTCACTGCATGTCGGACCGGACCGCGGCGATGGTACGAACGCTCAGCTCAGGCCCGTAAAGGCCCGCGGCCCCGGCTTGGCCCGGTTCAGGTACCGGGGGTGTTGTCGAAGAGTTGAAACCCGGTGCAACCTGCTTTGACACCAAAAATGGCCCTCTAAATGGCATGTTCGCAGCAACGCACCATTCCCCGCGCGAGTCCCCACCCGCTGGTCGCCGATGGTCAGGCTGCCTTGATCATGCAATCTGGTCCAGCCATGGCAGTTGCACAACGCTTCAACGGGCTCTCGTGTGCCATTTTGCGTCGGCTCCGCCTCGTTGCCTGGCAGAAGACCTGACGCCACGCCTTCAGCTGGGTCTGTCCGCTCATCTTGGCGTCTGGGGTGGATTGTGGACTGACACGAGATGGCGGACCCCTGTCACTGCGAAGTCTCGAGAAGTCAATATCAACCGTCGACAACTCGCCTTTGAGCAGAGAAGAGAGACTCTTGTCATCATCAGAACATTCACAACACACAAGCATATTCGTTGCATACAACCATTGACAACACTACGCTATTCAGTATGTCTAGTTTGTGAGTATCCCGCGATGCCCTCTCAGGACCCACCCGCAACCGAGCGACTAACACGATCTGCAGACCACTCAAGGCCAAGGTTGCCATCCGCGACCACTGGACAAGCGAGGAGAGCCAGCTCCAAAAGGCACTCAAGGAGCTTAAGAACGTTCTCGGTCTTGATATCGATGTCGAACCAGACTGGCAACTTTTGCTGGCCGAATTGGACACCGTCTACTCTGACAAGGGCGATTTGGTTGCCGCCGTGGCCGGCACTGTTGAGACCTGGACCAAGGCCGCGACAGAACTTCTCGACGACGACAAGAACGCGGACTGGACCGAAATCCTGCTGGAAAAGCTCAAGGCCACCTATATCAATCTCCGCCTCTTCATCGAGGTAAGCTCAAACCTGCCGTCTCCATGAATGATTCATCTAACATAAGGCTAGGTTTCCCGCGACGACCAGGCATCATCGGCGTGGTCCGACGAGCGGGGCGGCTTCATCATTGCCCTGCCGAGACGCCAGCTCAACCACCCCGCAGAGCTCTTCCCCCTCTTCCAGGGCGAGATCAAGGAGTGCTTCTCCGACAAGCGCCACCTCCCGCCGTCATACACCATTTCCCCGCGGATGTCGGGCGACGAGTGGGCCGACGTGGGGTTGGACGTGCGGGCTGGCCACCTCTCTCTGAACGACAGAGAGACCTCTGCAAAGACGACGAGGGGGCCGGACATCCTCCCCCGCGCGGATTCTCTGCCCCGCCCCGACGATCTGCTCAGCAAGCCCCCTTATCACCTGTTCGTGTACGCCCGCAGCGCGCACGAGATCGAGGTCCAGTGTAGCCACAGCGGTACTCTCAAGTTCTTGTCCGAGTACTTTAAGAAGTGGCGCCGCGTGAACCACCAGCTCAGCACAAAGGTATGTTCATCAACGTATATTTGGAAGACGGCTGCTAACCTACAATGCAAAGCCCCCCGCGGTCGAGGTCAAGCTCCACCAGTGCGCCTTTGGTCTTGGCGCCATCATCGACCGGCTGGTGCTGGTCGCCGAGAACAGGAGCGGCACCTTCACCGTCACGCCGACGATCGTGCTCTCCCTCGTCGAGGGCGTCCTCGGGTACAAGCAGGTATACGCTGACGCACACTCCTGGACGTACCGGAGGGATGTTGAGCTCAGATCCTTGTAATGATGTGTGATGAGTTTTGTGCTTTTGGAGTTCGGACGGAAAAGGGGCAAGATGACTGTAACTCTCTTGCGGAAAGGGGCATGTTATGGTTTAATGATTGTAGGCTTGTAGACTCTGTAGACTAGTCAGGATCGGCTCCTTTGGACATCCGGCCGAGTATGGATGGTTAATGAAGATGAAAGCTTTTCGTTTTGCATGAGATCAGATGATGGGACGAGTTGCTGTGTCTGGACTCCGAAACTCCGCTCCCCCGCGGACCTGGTCCCTGTTTTTTTCGGGGTCTTGCCACGGCCGCTGCCGGAGCACGGACATCCACAGTCTCGGTGCTCTCGGCCACGGCATCGGAGCCGGCGGGTCGGCGTAAAGAAGCATGGCGCAGTCATCTCGTCCCGTTTCTCACCCTGCGGAAGAACCTTGTCGGAATTACTTGTGTATTTTGGCTTTTGGCTTTCATGCACTCTATCTGCCATCATCCGTTCTTTGGATGACCTCTCAGCCTCTCTGGGGCTTCGCCTCAGTGAAAACTATGTGTGGTGTTGGGTGCTGTATATTTGATGCTTGGCCTGCCTTGCCAGCCAGCGATTACTGCAACTTCCTAACCCACAAAAGCCTGTTGAACCATTCTCCGCTAGACGTACAACCACAAAATGCACTTCGACCCAGAAACCTACAACCTGAAATGCTACCAAATGACCGACGAAGCCCTCCTGGCCAGAAGAGCACATTATGTCCGCCAGCTAGCGAGCGGCTCGACGGGGGCCGCGCTGCACACCGCCGCGGGCGCCGCCACGGCCGGTCTGACCTGGCTGATGGTCCCGTACGACGCGGCCCGCATCCGCAACGCGCGGAGGAAGCGGCGGATCCTCGAGAAGCACGCCGTCGAGCGCGGGCTCACGGTCAAGACGAAACGCGGAGACGTGCTGATCCCGATGGCGCTAGGCGTGACGCTCGGCGCCGTCGCGTTCGAGGGGGCCGAGATGTGCGCGGATGCCGTGGTGGCGGACACGGGGGGTTCGAAAGAGGTCGTCAAGGGAGTCGCTCATCTCGGGCTCGACGCGGGCGTGGCTGTGATCGAGCATGCGCATGCCAGGAACGAGAAGACGAAGTCCGAGAGGTGGAGGTGGAAACGTGGGCGTCACGAAGCTTCCCTCGGTGAGAAGTCGGAAAAGTAGGGCGGCGGCAGCTCTTGCTAACCCGGGTGGGTGGCAATCCGAAGCATTGCCGTCGTCGTCGTCTTGCGCAGCGTGTGCGTGGTTGACTCGTACAAAGTAGTCGTATAATTTGATCATGAACATTGCGATCCTCAAAAGATGTCTTCAGTGGTCCGCGATTCGCCTGGATTGAATATTAGCTCGGTGGACCCAACGACAAAACAACAATATTAACCTACGATGCAGCTTCATCGGGCAGAGCGGCGGCAACACCACACAAAACCGCAGATTGTGGGCACGAGAACGACGGTGAGGGCGGCGACGAAGCATCCAACCTTGAGGCGCTCGGCCTGCCTCAGCCGCTGCCTCTCCTTCTCCTCCTCCTCTTCGTCGTCGATGATGGCCCACTCATTCTCCTTGCTGTAAATCATGGGATGCCTGCTTGCTTTGGGCTTGTACATGGTGGGCGTCGTTATTTGCTTGGTGTTGATAGAAACGTTCACTGTTCCTTTTTTGTTGTGTTTGTTAAAAAGTTGGTGGGAAGTGAAGAATTAAAGAAAAAGGTTGTCCTCTGCAGAAATAAGGGTTTTCGCCTTATCGAAGTCACTTCTCACACCTAGATGCAACGGCCCGAAAATTGCAGATGTAAACAGAAAGGGCCCGATCGGTGAGATCCATATTCATGTGGGCCACCCGGCCTGAACGCCTCTTTGATGGGGACGTTTCAAGGATCAATGTGTCACTTTTTTTTTTTAGCGATAAGACGAGAAGCAGGTGGGAGAGGCTGGTGACCAATCCAAGGGGGCGGCGGACATGCTTCGCGCAATCTTCACCGACCGCAGTCGAGGGCTTGGAAAAGGGGGGCTGCATGGCCTTGTCGCGTGTTGGCGAGATTGGCGTTGATTGGGCCGAAATAGGAGTCATCAAGACCTTGAGGATTATCTGAGGCGATACACACGTGTATCAGGGACGAATGACAATCAGACCACGGGCCGCGAGTTGCGAATCTCATGTGGCTGAATGGAGCTCTCGACGGAGCCCACCCACCGCCGTACGTTCAGTGGTTCAGAGGCGTTCCGTTGGGAGGTTGAGCGAAAAAAAAAATCATTCAGCCCTGGAATGAGAGTGCTTTGAGTCAATCTAAAGTGGGCTGTCGCCGAGGCGATGTGGGACCCTGGATCGACCAGGATGCCTTAGGGTGGACAGGCATTTGCAGGGCCGGGATCGTCAGGGCTAGTCTCGGTAGTGGCCATTCTTGACCGAGCCACCGAGTCTCACCGAGGTGACTGCACCTCACTCACCTTGCTGTCACCACCAGCGTTCGATGTCACAGTGGAGGACAAGAGCACTCTTGGTCATTGCGTCCACAACAAAGTTAGTATAAACGACCACATCGCTCGGCAAGAGTGTCTCGACTTATGAACTCAGCAATGATTCTTCCT